CGCCAGAGCCAAGAAGTGTGTAGCATTCTTAAGTCAGTATTTGCTATACATTTTTTGGTGTACTTTTTCAATTTCTCTGGGGGACGATTTTTTTTAGGGGGAACGTGTCCCCCCTAAACGTGTACCCCCGGGATCGCCACCCCTGACAGCAGGTATGATACAGCCCCCAGCCCCCCTCACCTGTGTCATCGAAGTGATGATGAAGACATCATTCGATTCGTGCAGCTGAGACATGCTGTAAAGGCACATGTGAAACTTGCCCCAGGCATTTGCAATTAGACACTGTCTACTGCAATAATGCACCTTCATTCTCCACCTAGCCGCGTCCACACCACCCAATGCTTCAAGTATTTCAAGGAGTTGTGTTTAGTTCATAACTTCTTATGAGTACAGCTCAATTATGATTATCTAGGCGTCAGTTCATATAAAATATGATATTAAAAATTTAAATTAAAAAAAAAATCATATGAAAAAGTAAGAAACAGTATCAGTTGTAGGATTTGAACAAAGGTGTCTCCACTCCCCTATTTGTAGTGAGCATGTACATGCAGTTCTCCATATCGTAATCATTGAATATTGAAGTGTACCCAGGCGGCTTCAGTTTGGAATGTCGTCCGGACATCTATCCAGGAGAATTATATCCAAGGAACCCCCCCCCCCGGACAACTGCCCTCGAAAATTGCTGTCCCCGTCACCTTCGGACAAATGCTTAGTCTGAGTGAAGTTGTCAGGGTTGGTATATATGGAAGGAAATATTAAATTTTGAACAAGAATCATGTTGACTAAGAAGTACTTTATCACCATTTGTGGTTTATGGGCGTGGTCATTGAGAGGTATTCTTCACTGCAAAGACACTGTTCATTGAATATGGCATTTACAGTCTTTTTATTAACAAAGTGACAATGGCATATCAACATACCGATGAGGAGGGGCGTACAAAGCAAGAGCAACGAGTCTGGTATGTCTGGATGGGGGTGTTCTCCATAAGGAAATTGTTAATGGTATTTACTTAGTTAATTTACTATATATTAAATTCAACGATTTATTATTATTTTGAACGAAAGGTGAACTCGGTTAAACATTTCCAGTCTCAAAGTAAAAGCGATATGAGCTCTTTAAGCCATACCAGTCCAGGGGTGTTTCACAAAGATCCTAAGTTTAACTTATCTCTAAGTTGGACTTAACAATTATGGAAAGCCGTTGCCATCTATGAAAACATCGTTTAAAAGTTATTTCAAAAGGCAAAAAATGTTGGTTCAAATCTTTCACAATTTCTATTATCAAGGAAATTTCATGTTTTTGATGTGGAAATTTATAAAAAGTCTAAAATACTTGAATTTTTCGTTTTTGAAATATTTATTTTAAGGCTACAAACGGCTCTCCATAATTTTAAAGTCCAGCTTAGAGTTAAGTTCGACTTAGGATCTTTGTGAAACACCCCTGTAGTACCAGGGGATACCTGCGTTTCCAGACATGTACTTTCAAGAATCATACTCATGTGAAGTCCCACTGCGACTCTTTAGAGCCTCAAGAAAATATTCAAACAGCGGATTCTTGCGGATTCCTTCCGTTCCATAAACTGTTATTCTTCGGTTTTCTCCAAGGCAAGGTCTTTGCAAGGTTTCCTTTATCTACCCGTTGGATAACAGACGTTACAATTGTAACCAAATCGCTCTCACCGGTGCAGGGTAACCGAATCACTCGCTTCAGGCACAGTTAGGTTTCCCTTTTTTCATCCATGGATGCTGTTCAAAATCGGGTAACAATGGAGGCTTCTAGACGGGGAGAACTTACTAAGGTTTTTCTATTCTTTTCATTTTTCAGCCAATGCTTGAGGGAGAAACGTAAATATTTTGATAACTTGCAAGAGTCAGGGTCATAATGTACACGATCACAGCGAGAGGATTACGTAACTGCGGGTCAGCGTCCTCTATTTTTCATGGAGGGATTATTAGTCGCACAAGGTTTTAATGAAAATTGATAAGAACGAAATGAAAGAAATAGAAGATGGAATAATGAAGAAACTACAGAATGAAATATTCAAGATAATAAAATATGTCACAATAGACAGAAAAGTGTGAAATCTGATAGGGCTTTATTTACATATTGATTGGAGTATTTCACGAAGAGTAAAACTATGAAAAAAATGAGGAAGAAGAAATACAGGATTGAGAATGGAGAAGGCTATATGAAAAGAGATTGATATAAACCGAAACTTTTGCTCGCTCGACATTTTGATTTTAAAACACAAAATATCATGGAGCAAACGAAGAGACAGCATAATATTGTACTCTCTCTCATTGAATCTGATCATGGAGTTACTAAAGCTTTTAACTCCATGGTTTGATCGGCTGTTTGGGATTTCAAGTGGGAATCTATACGTACTGTTGTCCATCGACTGATGATGTCATTGTCTGTTAACATTTCGAATTTAATAGATAGTATGGTGTATCCATAATATAATGTAGCCGATGAAAGCCCCACCCCCTCCTCCCTTAGCATAAAAATCGTTTTACTCGCAGTGCGTCTTCAATTGCCGAAATACACCCCCCCCCCCCCTTTACAACTTACAAATAGACCTAAAGCCTATAAAAATGTGACAATAAATTGTTCCTTTGTTATATTAAGATCTCTCAAGGTTAAAGTCTTTTGTTTGGGGAATATCCCTGTTCGTTCATTCAACAATAATTTCTAGTTCTACATACGACATAACAGCTCGATTTTGTCGCCAAAAACGCATGCTCAAAGAGGACGATGCTATCAAATTTTACCGGTTTATATTTTGGATTTAGGCCTATACGATTGCACAGTGATTGCGCTGCCTACATGTATAAAAATGTAAAGCGAAAAACATACCAGGATAGAATTGGATAGAAATGGGAGTTGAAAAGTTTATGGGCTATTCTTGAACTTGGGGTAAATCAAAATTCGTTCGGACACGAGATAAAGACGCTTTGAAACAGCTTGGGATTTCGTCGGATATTATTGAGTGGGTATCCATTTCATCATTAGAGACCGGGGCCCGGGCCGGTTGACCTCATGGGATGAAACCGATAGCTTCTGACTTGGTGATAGGAGGAGAAAGAGGGTTTAGCCGAATCGAAAGGAAAATGGAATTGGAAGGAAGAGAGAGCGAGGAGAGAGGGAGGGGAGAGATAATAACAGAGATAGACAATGATCAAGAGGGAGAGATAAAGTGATAGACAGTTGTACATAAACATGTAGATAAACAGAGGTCCAGATAGCTATCTAGATAGATATATAGATGAGAGACAGAACATGGAATGCTAGAGAAGAGAGAAAGGAGAGGGAGAGATGAATAAATACATGTAATTTAGATAGAATTGTATAAGACCTTAGAGAAAGTCAGAAAGACAAACAGACAGGAAGAAAGTTTGAAATCAACTGCAGGCAAAAAAAAAAGAGAGGGAGGGGGAAATAACGCCAATCATTATCTAAAGCTAGCATAATTAACCATTCTAGACCTATTGATCCGATTTGGGGGCGAACTCAGATTGAAGTGAAATTCTCGATAAAAAATTAGCGCATATGATAATAATGTAATTGAGTAATGAGCTTCGAATGCGAGACAATAGTCGGTTATGTTATAATTTACTTTCTGATTAGCACGTTTGTGTGCTTGAAAGCAAACCTATAATTAGCTCCAGATACAATTTACGATTTGAATGAAGCTGACCATCAAAGAAGTTCTGTTCTCATGAAGTTCTGAAAAATTTGTCTTGAATGAAAAAAAGATCTTCACATCCCCACTGTTTCTTCCCACACCATGTAATCTAAGGATGGATGCCGCCATATTGAATTTATGTTGCTAAGGGGTTGAAGTTGGTAACTAGGGAGACGGAGGAAGAGGCTGTTATTGCATTCGGAAAGGCAATTTGCCATACAGATTCACATTCCAATTTAACATCCCATAATAGAGTTTGATAAATGTAGGGCTTTGCTGCTCAATGTATTTCTATCTGATTGGAATGATGCGTCGAACAGGATGGACAAACAACAACAACTTGTGCTTAAAGCTATAATGGGCATGATGGGCCTTGAGTGTAAATATGTAAGCTGAACAGCTCAAAGGCAATTTGATGTATCATTGAACAGTGTGAGTCGAACAAAGATACCTAAATTTTTAATGTCATGTTTACTATTGCAACATTCACACAGAAGGACACTGGCAAATGATATGCCCATACTTAAGTTGGTTGTTAAAATGCACACATTGAATGTTTCGTGCAGTTTGCAAATAATGGACCAATCTGGGTCATATCACATCATGTTTGTACTTTCCTTAACATGATGACAGGACCTGTTGTAGCTTTCAGCAATAACAATATAATCACTGAAATAATCTTATTACAAGCAAAAAACATCACTGATAATTGGTACTCAATGTGGAGAAAGGAAAGTTGAAATAATTATTATGTACTTTTAAATGACCGGAAGGAAAAGCATAGGTATATGGTTCATTAATGTATTTCTAATATTTACCTCTATACTTTGTTTGCCAACATGTGATGTTACTTCAGCGCAGTTATTACATTTTTAAAGGACACTGGGACATAAATAGCGCCACCAACTTTACAAGGACGCAGAATCACTGACGAGGTCCACCCATGCGAGGTTTTACCTTCGTTAGAAATGTCAGACCTATTTTTGGTAGCATTATCTGATGCGAATTTTTACATTTGAGTTTTGATTTATCGTTTATTAGAGTAGAACTTTTTTGAAACTTTTTTGAAACTTTTTCCCCAATGCTCTCCCTTATCATGTAAATTTTTACCTTATCGTCCTCTTCCCCCTTTTCTATATTTTAGTTTGTCCATCCCATTTCTATGTCTATCTCTCTCTCCCTCTCTCTTTCTTTCTCCCCCCCCCCCGCCTTCTCTCTCTCTCTCTCGATCTCTCGATCTCTCTCTCTCTCTCATATCATCTCACTCTTCTCTTCTTTCGACAGTCCAATACAAAGATACTTTGTCCTGTGTTTCCTTCAGTGAAACTCCATGTATATGAAATCGAATGAAACGAATAAAAACATTTTTCTGTCTCATCTTTTTCCTGCAGTCCACTACAAAGACGCGGCAGTCGCAAGACACGGAGCGCATCGGTACCGATTCGATATCGGCAGGATACCCCAAGGTGAGACGGTGACGTCAGCTGAGCTGCGCGTCTTCCGTGACGCGCGGGGGCAAGGCAGCTCCTTGTATCGAATCGATGTTCTGCTGCTGAGGGAACGAGGTAGTGATGGGTAAGCATTCGAATGTCCCCCGCGTTCATTAGACCAATTATCTGTTTATAGTGACCGACAATTAACTACCACATTTGTCTATAGGGGTGTTTTATGTTACTACATATTTCTTGTAACTATTTTATAAAGAATATTATTGTAAGACCTGTTTTGAAAGATCTAGAACCAATCTTTGTCAGCCTCATAATTAGAGATTGTAACTTAGCGATGGATTACTATCCGATTATTCGTAACTTCTTGTAAGACGAGGCCTTTAGCAGTTTCGAATTCGGCTATTCAATGACGAGGCCAAATTCTCTGCTTTCTGTAATCCATATTCGGGACCCTGGTTTACGTACGGGGATAGAGGGAGGTTATCGCCCAATGTGACTTATTTGGGAAGAAATGCAAATTCTATTGAGAATGTATCTATATTCCATGCGTTTCCGTTTGCAATCGTACAGTTACTGACTTACAACTATGACTAAAGTTAACTTTGATCGAAAAAATGTCCGGGGGTGGGGGGGGGGGGGGTCCCTTGATTTAAATAATATAAAGTGGTTATTAAAAAAATAATGTTTTATAGTGTTCCTTCGGTGCAGGGGCGGCGATTTCTTTTAATGACAGTGGGGGGGGGGGGGGGGGGGGCGAAATGCAAGATTTTCTGAAAATGAAGATTTTTGCATTTTTATTAGTTTAAAGGCTGCACCTCTTGGGGCCTCCAGAGCTTAAAAGTGTGTTTTCCGGGGGGAGGGGGGACGATACAAAAAATTGAGGGGGACGTGCCCCCCCCCGGATCGCCGCTTCTGCTTCGATGGATAATACTCTGAGCCAAATTAATGTTACTTTAAGATACTAAGTCAATTTGAATGATATAGTTCATAATAATGTTTAGAGGAAGGAAGTCATTTACCTTAAACTCGTTTTTATTCCTGTCGTAGTTCCAGGTCACCCGTGTATTTGGATAGTACCATTGTTGGCGCAGGGGATCATGGCTGGTTGGTCTTTGATATGACGTCAGCTACAAGTACATGGAGGTCCTACCCAGGGGCTAATGTTGGTCTTCAGCTCCGTGTTGAGTCTTTACAAGGTATGCTTATAACGATTCGGTAAACAATTTACAACTTAATATTAAATTCCAAAAATTAGGACAGGGTTTGAACAATTTCTTCATATTTCAGGGACGGATCCACGATTTTATAAATAGGGGTGCACAATGCCGAGAAAACTGCATAATAAATAAGGATTTTGTTTCTTCTTGTGTATCTAATTTATGTCAATGGTTTCATAAGGGGGCACGGGACGGGTGTAGCCCCCTAAAAAATATTTAAAAAAATAAAGATACAAAGTTTCTCATGGAAAACTCATATTTCGCCTAAACGAAAAATTGAAGGACCGACAATAACTGCCTATTAATAGATCGGCTTCTTATCTTGTTTGTTTTTTCACTGCCATGTTAACAAGGTAATATCCTCTGACGTGTTACTGTAATTAGGGATAATACATCTGCTCTGATGGAAGCCATATACGACCTCGTTAAAGTTTGTTTTTAGAAATGTTTTTCTTTCATTGCAATGGAAGTGCAGGTTTTTATATAATTTCATTGTGCATTGGTAATGAACGGCGACATTGAAACTATTTTATTATATTCCACCGACAACAACACTTTCATCATAAGAGTCACAATATTCATCATAATCATCAACAGCCAAATCATAACTTTTACCATCTGTCTATTATCATTCTCAACATCATCATCATAATCATCAGTCATCATTTATCGTCATCATAATCACCACCACCATCATCATCGTCGTCGTCACCACTACCACTCGGTTTTACCCCTATAATGAAAGACACACGCCACGCCAGAAAGCCATTGTTTGCTATAAATGAAAGTGTGTGAAAACGACTTATCCAATTAACTTATCCGCATTTCACCCCACCCCCCCCCTCCCATCTGTTGTTAGGTCTGAACATCGATCCCACGGACGCAGGGGTGGTTGGTGTCGGCAATAACGAGGGTCGAGAGCCTTTCATGGTGGTCTTCTTCCAACGCAACGAGGAGGTCATCGCGACAAACTCCCATCTCCGGCGTAATCGTCGAGCAGCGACTCGACAAAAGAAAGGCGGAAAGAGACCAAGAAAACCAGATACAGATAACGACATCGCTTCCAGGGGTAGGTTTTTTTTATGTCACCTAAAACACCACCGCTCTCTTTCAAAAGAAAGTGAAAACTTTAAAAGTTTCAGCCTTTACATTTTAAGTTTGCAATAAATAAATAACAAATTTTCTATTATAAGGAGAAGTCCAGAAACGTGTCCAGATCATTTTCACATTGAATTTTAGTAGGCCAACTTCTGATTTAATTGCGAATGGAATTTGTTACGTTGTCTCCTTAATAATTGTGTTTCACCACCTCCCCCTTTAAAGACAACAAACCCCTCCTACGAAGATTATGCACCCCCTGCCTTATCAATTATTGATTCACCTTAGCTAATGATTTGAGAAATGTCATTTGATCTCAGGAATAAAACTTCCAAGTAAAATCAAAATCTTCTTTCATAAAATTGAGTCCAAGGTTAGAAAGCACACGAGGTAACCAATGATCACATAAATTTTCTGCTATAATTGACAAAGTTTTTTATGAATGTGTTCAGTTGTTGTACGATATGAATTTTTTTTAGCCCCTCTCATGATAAGTATGATTAATTGTATATACAATTTGGCGTATATCTCTGTAACTGTGTAATTTTTATATAGATATTGCATATCATATTCAAGGAAATTGAGTTACATTTTAAAGATTATGCCATATAATGGATATATCAGCTATTTTCATGTAGACTGGTTGCAAATCGTCTATTTTCATTGAATCTTAATCATTTCCATTGCTCACCTATATTTCGATGCATTATTGCCAACTATATCACAATACCTCATTTCTTAGTATAGTCATGATAGTCATTGAATTTTTCTTATTTTTTCAGAAATATTATTTATTTTTCTCCGCATGTTTACAAAATCATTCAAATCTGTAGTTATCCTGATGTTAACTTATTCATTTTTACCTTCATTTATTTATGATTTTATTAGAACATTTTACCATTTGTCCCCCTTCGTAGTATATAGTATGCTGATGTATTTACCCCAACTCATTTCACCTATTTATTTCTTTTTTCCATTTCATCTTTGTGTTTCACCCTTTCAAATGCAGATAGTGCATCATCTCTAAATAGCGATTGGCAATGTAAACGAAAGAATTTGTTCGTCAATTTCGAAGACCTAGACTGGCAGGTAACACTTTGGGATCTTTACCCATATTTGTGTATTTTTGTCGATGTGGTAGACTAACCAATTTCTCTGTTTGTATTCGTGTGCACTTTTTTGTTTTCCCCTTTTTCAGACTTTAACTCTCGACTTCGAAAAAGGAAGCGTCTTTGCAAACGCAAATCCATGTTCGTGAATTTCGAAGATCTAGATTGGCAGGTAAAAGTAGTAGAATGAATTAGTTGCCTGTTAGTAGAACTTTCTTTTACAGTGATCGATACGAGGTCATGTGGTAAGGGTTACTAGCAAAGTCTACAGGGCCATAGGTTTGACACCTCACATGGTCATTTGTCATTAATCTTTTCGACCGTTAGCGTCAAAAAGCTTGTTTGAATTCATGCCAAATTTGTTTTCTTAAAGTATTTCTAGTATTGTTAGTGACGCAAAGATTTCTTAAATCTATTTTGGGAACGTTCCAATAGACCGATATCCCATGGACCGAGAATTTCGGTCTCGTTAGCATTCTGAAAAGGTATTAGAAGGTCCGTGAGACGGACGTGTCACATGATGCGTCGGTCATGATGCGTCGGTCTCGTGAAACCTTATGTTAAAATGCCAGCCTCATAAAGTTAGATCAATTATCTCAATGAAAGATCTTGGGGAACATGGCAACGAAGAAGAAAATATGAATTTGATTATCATCTTCCATTAAGATATTAATACTTTAAGCCAGGCACACGATGATACATACTTACTTCTTCCCAATATGCCATTCGCATTTCCATAATGAGAGTCTTAATCGTATACACGCCTACTACCACACGTATACAGTCATAACATAAATACATTTTTAAGAAAAACATTGGCATAAGGTATGATATGCTGTGATGATAAAAAAAATTATCTCAATGAAAGATCTTGGCGATCATGGCAATAAAGACGAAAATATGAATTTTTATTATCATCTTCCATTAAGATATTAATACTTTAAGCCAGGCACGCGATAATACATACTTCTTCCCAATATGCAATTCGCAATTCCATAAAGAGAGTATTCATTGTATACACGCATAACCACACGTATACAGTCATAACATAAATACATTTTTAAGAAAAACATTGGCATAAGGTATGATATGCTATGATGATAAAAAAAGAAAAAAATAGAAAAGTATTATCCGTAAAAAGGCAGTTTTTAGCTGGTCAGCGACTCTGTCCGAAAGAAAAAATAAAAATACACATATTTTTTAACAAAGTAATAATTATGGTGTATGAATAAACACCCCCACCCGATCTCTCTCACATGAGAATATTGTACAAGATGATGGGTTATCTCATTCTCAGTGGGAGAAAATAATTGCGTAGGAGAAATTAGGTCTCAATCGCAGATGGGATTTTTCACTTTTACTCGTATACATAGCAAGGATTATTCGCTTTGATGTGATATATATTTTTTGTCGCGGGTAACATCCGGTTATTAATTGTTGTCACCTTGTTTAGTTCGCACGAATAAAAATGAGTGATCGAGTGATCAATTAATTGATAATCGCCCGGTTCGCCCCAAAGAAAATTTTGTTTGTCCTTCTTTTTCACTTGGTAGGAAGTACTTATCGTTATTTTTGCATTCTTATTGGTATCGTTTTTCTGTTAATTTCTCTTCTCATTTCTTCTAACGGAACCCAATAGTATCTCTTGTCTTCTATGTCGTATCCAGTGTGTACAGTACCTTGATCTCTTTATCCTTACCTTGAGAGCTTTCGTATGTTCGATAACCTTACCCCTCCCACCCCCACACACACACACACACAAACAAGCTCTTCCGGTATTGTACCTACAACCCCCACCCCACCTTCTCTTCTTCCCTTCATTATCTCATCCCTCACTCTCCATCTCGTCTGTCTGCCTGTCTGTCTCTCTCCCTCTCTCCCACTCTCTCTCTCTCTCTCTGTTTCTCTCTTTCCCTCCCCTCCCTCTAGCGTCTTTATCCCTCTAATTTTTAAATAACTATGATTATTTTTGTTATATCTATGTACTTCAGATTTGTGGATTCGGTGTTTAATATGGACGATATCAATGGGAGCATTTAGCCTTCATATTTATTTACTTTTATTGTTAATTGAGCTCAGATCCATTAACATTAATTTTGCGCTTTTTATGATTTGCACAAAATTGATCGTAATCATAAAATATTGTGAAGATTTACGTTCACAAACAAATCGACTCAAAATTTGAATCCTGAATGTTCAATTGCATTTAGTTGTGTTTCTTCAATTATCAGAGAAAGGTCCTCAATGACTGACAACATGTACAAGTTTAAGATCGAAACGATTGACTAAAGCTCCATTTTAAGTTGGAAGTTTGATATATTATTATCATTATCTTCTTAGGGGGAATTTTGTATTGAAGTTTTTCATTATTTCAAACAAAGATTCAGCTATGAGAGATTTGATGTTGACATAGAAACCTAAACATGTCTATTTTTGAATCCGAGATCTGTATCATGATTTGTGAACTCGGTCGTAGGATGTATCAGTGGCACATGGGACAATTATCCTTATCTTGCCAGTCAAATAAAGGCCCAAAATTGAAAATCGTTGTGCAAAATGCAAAATAGATCGAAATTCATATTAATAAACTGTTATTCTTATCAAATATAATATGTAATCCCCGAGACCAACAGCCCAGAGACTGACGTGGCAGTCTTGTCGCCCTTCTTCCAACTTTTCCGAAGGTTCCTGAGACCGAAATTTATATCGTTTCATGGGCTGTTGGTCGACTGCATGTTCCTTCATTGTTATTTAATCCTTGCAAACTACTGTATTCGAATGTACCATTTAACTCAATCCTCCACCCCCCCCTCACTTTTTTAAACAGGAATGGATCATCGCGCCCCTTGGGTATGTGGCTTTCTACTGCCAGGGTGAGTGCGCCTTCCCCCTCAACGGGCACGCCAATGCCACCAACCACGCTATCGTGCAGACACTCGTCCACCACATGAGCCCTAGTACCGTACCTCAGCCCTGCTGCGCCCCGACCAAACTCAGTCCAATCACCGTACTCTATTACGATGACAGTCGCAACGTCGTGCTTAAGAAGTACAAGAACATGGTGGTCCGTGCGTGTGGTTGCCTCTAGCAACGGAAGATGCATCAGATTGATGTTTTCTTCTTTGATTTTTTATTCGTCGAGTACGGCTTTAAGAGGCTACCAGACAATTGGACTGATTTAATCGGAGTTTAAAATCTGAAGAAAGAAAGACAAGCGTCCACACATTGTAAGAGATAATTGTTAATTTGTTTTAATAATGTTTTATGATCAAGTATTCTGCAGGTCTTTGACAAATAGTTTGCTAACAAAGGTGGCTTTTTCAATCGGTTTTCAATCATATTTTATAATTCAACCCACTATCAATATAGTGTTGTTGCTTCTTTGGCGTATATTCATCTTGTGTTGGAAATTTAATTACAATGACCGAAAGTTACTGAGATTATGATTAAAGTTTGTAGGGAAAATAATGTGTATTTATATATACGGAAACGGAGGAAATGTCATGTACGTGAGTATTTTATTAGTGGAATTACGACCATTCCATTGTCAATTTCTCGATGACATTAGACTTATGAGAGATTTTGATATTGTTTTTTTTCGAACTTGAACTCGTTTTCCGATCCACATACAATATTAAAAAATCATTCAGAAAAACGAAAGGTTATAATTAAAGTAGATGACACCATCATCACTTTATGTCCGTTACTTTAATATCTTTAATTTTGTTGTCATTTTTGGACAGGTGATTTTACTTGTAATAATCATGGATCTCTCTCTATCTTTCTCTTCTCGTCTCTCTATTTCTGCATCACTTTTGCAGCATATTGCTGCTTTGATCCAGTTAGCAATACATTATTTTATTTGACTTGTTCCCGGCTGTCGATTCAGTACGTGGCTATATACTCGCATCAAGAGAAAACTGGGAATATAACATTAACACCGAGGCTATATCAAGCCTACAAGATTATATCAAAGTTGTTGAGATCCGTGAAAATTTGTATGGGGAAAAAAAACGTTAATTACCCTCGGGACTGGATAAAGATGTATACGTGACTATACTAAGGACAAATTCTCATGTGGCTATCGTAATTTCTTCTTAATTTTCTTATTGAGTAGCAGGGGAGATTTCAGTTATTAGCCAAAGACGAACAAGTCAATAGCAATTTTCTGCTATAATTAAGCACGCGAATGTAATATCAGTATGAGGCATTACGACTTGATTCGGCATGCATGACGCGGAGACACAATTTTCTATGGGAAAAAGAAAAAAAAGGGCAAACAGTTGTGTGGGCGGCAATAACACTGGCTAGGATGAATATATGAATAAACTACTAGTATATAGATGTGAGTGTGAGAACAAATATATTCAATAATTATGTGTCTATGCGAGAAGAACGTAAAACCATGTTGGATTTCATTTTTAAATCGCGTGCATTTACGTGATGTTAAAATAACTAGCAGATTGTGGATTCACGATTTTTAAACCAGATAAAACGCATGTAGCTTCGCTTTGCCGCCCCCTCCCCCCTCAAATTTTTTTTTTTTTTTAAATTAGAAATATGAAAAATTCCGGAGTCCCCACCCTGATCCGCTAATGCACTTGTAGTTTTATGGATGGATCACAATGATTGCAGATTAAAATAATCCTTCCTCGTGTTAAAGACAAAAAAAGGGTTAAATATTCTTAATTATGTTTATCCGTGAAAAATTTCATTGTGTAAGAATTCTGTAGCAACTGTTGATGTATATATTTTTCTACAAAAATGTCCATATGTAGGATATTGATGTCGCATTTAGAGAATCACCTATGCCCCGCTGTCAAGATTTGATCTAAAGAACTGAAGAAATTATATTGTCTTTACCATCTAAATGATTATGTATCTACAGATTGTTACTAAAAAAAAATTCATTGCATTGTCTTCCATATAAAATGTTTCGACCGGTCCCAGATGAACCACAGAAAAAAGGAAATGAAAACGAACAAAATAAAACAAATAAAAAATGTTGGTCGTGTCATCGTTGTACTTCTGTATCCTGTAATTACCGAAGCAAATATTTTATTATGTATATATTTTTTTAAGACACTGCATGTAGAGGTTTTTAAATCTGACAATAATTTAGAGTAAACCTACCTTTTCACCCCTGTTTAATTTTATGAAGTAAATTAACTTGTCTTCCAGATTGTTACTTTTTAATTTGATTTAATTGCCTTGTCTACCATAATCATGTTTCAACCGGTCCCAGATCCCCCTCCCCCCCAAAAAAAAAAAGGAAAACAAAACAAAAACACGTTTTCCTTGAAGAAACTTACAGTATCACTAATGGTTATATTTTTTTAATCGGGGGCATATTTGGTAAATTATAGGGGCGACCCCCCTCCCGTGGCGCCGCCCCTACTTGACCCTTTTTGTTAACCATGAGGCGAAGATATCTCTGTCAATAGGCCTATATGAATTACTCACAGGGTTATACGCCCTATACAGATATTGGCGTCGTGTATATATTTTTTCGTCTGGTATAATTATCGTACAGAATGATATTTATTGTGTATATAGTTATTTCATAATCTATCATTTTTGACATTCGACAAGGCGCACCTATATCGGAAGAACATTTTTAAAAGTTACGTTGTTATTGATAAAGTCTTATCAATGTGGTCTACTTCTTCAAGTGTGCGTTCGAATAATAATATCTCTCGTATACTCTTGTATATACTTTTCAATTAATGACCTTTTCTCCCAGTTTTAGAGGGAGAGATAAGATAAAAATACGATTAGGCCTACCAAGCGTCTAGATGTATGTATATTTGTATGCAAAAATGTAAAGGGTATTGTGTAGTTCTGTTCACCAGTGTTGATAAGTCTTATATATTTTGGAAATCTTATTCTATTTCACTTTTACCAATTCATGAATTTTTAATTTGTTGGCCGAAATACTTTTTTACCCAATTTAGTTGTTGTTAAGCAATAATGATAATTCTAAAAACGAACTTTGTATTTTGATATCGCCACTTTGATTGAAGCATACCCTGTCTTAATTTATTTCTAAACATGATTATTTGCGATCATTTGTGCATTTAAAATGGTTAAATGTGATGATGAAGAGTATGTTTCATAGAAGGATTAAAAAGGTTTCTTATTGATTTGCAAGAATACTACATTTTAAGCAAATTACATTTAGGCCTAAATTCAAATATTGGTCGCTAAAAGTTATATACTATTTTAAAAGCATATTGGTATGCATCGCTTTGCTTTGATTTGAGATTAGTATATCAAATAATTCACTGACGATGAGTTGAACAAATTGAAGCATGCATGAAATTTCAATGGAATTAATTATTTCTCAATAAAAAAATATATAAAGTCTTCCTTTATGATCAAACGAAAATAGTTGAAGTCATTTAATAATTGTTTCAATTTTTTCTGTGCAACTTTATTGTGTCATCTGAAAGGTCCAGGGTGAATATTTATCCAATGTATCGTGTTTTATATTAAATAATTTGCTCTCCCTAAAATACAGAAATGGTCTTGATTTGTAAGATATTTTATGTCGTATGTTAAATAATAATACGCAATGTAGATTCAATAAAACGATGGGAAAATTAATTGACGAATTTTCTTCTTCATTTTTTTTTCTTCTTCATTTTTAATTTGTGCGTATGTTACGGTTCAAGAGCGAAGCAAAATGTTGTCACGACCGCGAGCTGTTTCCCCTGTTGCTTATTTATACTTATTCTTTCCAATGATGTCTCCTATACTTGTCTTGTAAGTATCCATAAAACCATCATGGTATGTTAGTTCATGTATATCAGTTGACGTAACAATCGTAAGAAGCCAGTTTATTGAAAACCCCTAGACGAATCCGAATGCATCACCGTTGCTAGGCAACGGGAGAATAGCCGCTTCTCCACACAAGTATACACGGATATTTCTTCTCCAGGGTAATTCGTTTAATGTCCCATAGTGAAGAGATTGGATGCCTGTATCTTTCAATTTGCATTCGAGATCAAGAGCAAATTGATAGCAAGGAGCTAATTTCAGAGAGATTGGTTTTCTTTTAATTATCGTTCAGTTTCTCTCTGTATGGATATCAATCATCTCATGCATAGACTGGACGTTGATTTATGTTTATGCTTTTTATATAGATAAAAACGAAGACATCCCTTACAACAACAACAAAAATAAAATAAATATTTACACCCAGCTTTTTACAACATTCATGTCAAGTTACTTAGATTGAACACAGAAAGGGAGATCGTAACAATAGACCAATGAAAGTCTGGGGATTTAAAGAAGAAAAAATTGTGATATGAACGTTTAATTCGAATGTTTCATAATCATCATCATCCTATGTCATCTCGAAGCATTTTGTGGGTGAAAAAGAAGAAGATGACATATGGCGAATAATTGGTTAAATATTTGTTTACAAAATATCTTAATGGAATTTGTCTTTATGTAAAAGGTATATACGTGTCTATATTTTATTTGCAAATTCCCTTCCATCAAGTCAAAATGAACAGACGTCTTCGATATAATGTATCGGATCTTGTATCCGTGCATATATACATGTATACGTTACAATGTAGACTTCCTGTCTGCACTCCGATGCATAATAATGATAATATATGATATACTAGTGGGCAAGCTCGAGTTATATGTCACAAACATTACCAAGTATTACTTAACTATCTTATGGAACTTTGTACACGAATCGGCTTAAACTGATAAAAATATCATTTTATACGATGTTTTGTCTTATTCAAGCTCTAGAATGGCCAGCAGCTTGTCATGACACAGTCATCAGATATACTGAAATCTTAGATGTGGTTTGTAACGTATGTGACAGAATAGCTTAGACTTGCCATTGTACAAAATGATGATAGCGAATTGTGTGTTTCATTTAATTTAATTTCCTTTATTTATTTAAACACGGTAACTCTGTCAGCCTAAATGGCCGTTTTTCAGAAAGTGCGTGTGAACTGAATGAAAATATACGAATTTCAATACAAACAAAAGCCTCTAACAAAAGATTACAAAACAAAATCAAATCAAAATATAAACTAATCAAATCAAAACAAAGGAAAACATAATTAACATGAGTAACCAATGAAGATAAGAAGTGAATTTTGTGTTATATTCGTTTAAAGCTCATGCATTAACTTGGACCAGAATATATCAGGTATTGACCGAAAGAACATGCGAGTCATATTGAAGAAACGTTTGTTACTCATCGAATTGCATTTAAAGCGAGTCTTTAGTCCTTGAAATTGATTTTTATCTCGAAAGAATCTGGCTAGAATAACAAATCTTTTATTGCGTAATAGATGTGGTGTTGAACTATTATAGCATTTGGTTATCAATCTGTAGCCTTGTACATTCAAAATGCGTTTCATTTGATTCAGTGAGAATAAAATTTCCAGTCTTGACCAGACCAGAACCCCAGTTTAGCGTTAGTTAATCTTGAACTGAAATCTTAAACTTAACTAGATGGAACTTCGACTGCGCGCAGTCGAAATGATGCCTCCGTCATAGAGCAATTTACAAACTAAAACAGAAGAAATTTTTCAAATTCAAGTTCAATTGTAATCCATTAACAGGTTCTCAGAATATTGTGATTACAAGCAATTTCTCATATACATATATGACCCTTTGATCTTTGACCTCATGACCCTAACATCTACTCAGTTCATTGGCTCTGCAAGATGTCTGGAGTTAAATAGTAATCCATCTGTCAGTTATAATGAGAATGCGTTCACAAGCTATTTTTGCATACAAAATGAGCCCATGACCTTTGACCTTTGACCTCATGACCAAAGAATCTACTCAGTTTATTGGCTCTGCAAGATGCATACATGATCTAAGTTTGGCAGGAATCCATCAATCTGTTCTAATGATAATGCGATCACAAGCTATTTTTGCCTACATAATGAGCCGCATGACCTTTGACCTTGACCTCATGACCCCAAAATCTAATCAGTTCATCGGCTTCGCAAGTAACATACATGACCTAAGTTTGGCAGGAATCCTTCAATCGGTTCTTGAGATAACGCGATCACGAGCAGTTTTTGCATACATAATGAGCCCTGTGACCTTTGACCTTTTACCTCGTGACCCCAAAATCTATTCAGTTCATCGGCTCTGCAAGATACATACATGACCAAAGTTTGGCAGGAATCCATCAATCGGTTCTTTGGATAACGCGATCACGAGCTGTTTTTGCATACATAATGAGCCCTGTGACCTTTGACCTTTGACCTTGTGACCCCAAAATCTAATCAGTTCATCGGCTCTGCAAGATACATACATGACCAAAGTTTGGCAGGAATCCATCAATCGGTTTTTCAGATAACGCGATCACGAGAACGGGACGTACGGACGTACGGACGGACGGACGGACAACCAGAAAACATAATGCCTCCGGCTACTTCGTAACGGAGGCATAAAAATAAGGATGTAAACAAAAAGGTACAGAGAATGAATGAGGCACAGAGAACGACACACAGGGACAGGGATATGGAGAGAAATGTACATGTATTTTGAGATCTAAGGTGAAAGTTATAAAAAAGGGTGTTTTGTTTTCACTTCTCTACTATCTCTATCTTCATCTGTTATTTCTGTCCTTAATGCTTCTATCATCTTCCATTTCTATCCTTAAGTTTGTGTATGCTTTCATTATCATTTCTCTTTCTAACGATCATTATATTTTCTTCGATTTTTATGTTTCTTATTTAATATATTTCTTTATGAATTTCTTTGTTCATACTACTTTTTCTACTTCGTTTCAGTCTTTCTTTACCTCGTGAAGATTTTAAACCTTTCATTTTCGTGGCGCTGTGGACGATGTCATCTGAATGTCATCCTTTTAAATGCTCATTTTAAACTTTCTCCTTCGTTGTACCAATAAGGATATCAGATTCTATTGTAGTCTTAATATTCAGTGCATGTTTAGTTTAGTATGTAAGATTGTCTGTGATTACCAGGATGGCAGGATCGCATTCTTTAATCAAAACATGGACCCTACTACGAAGGTCCATGATCAAAATTAAACACCATTGTGGTGTAACACGATGGCTTCGCTATTTTTCATCTTCAACATTGGTCTTACATATAGCTCCCACGAACTCCTAACAATTAGCAGTTACGTAATAGTGTATTGTCTAACGTTCTACTTACACTTCATAAATAATCACAGCGATCGTATATCACGTTTGTTATTTGGTGGTCTGTACACACCGTGGGTGACATAATGGTATCCATGGTTACATGAAGCATTAGGTGTGTTGCTGTGTATACAATTTTTTATTTTAATCACCGTGCAGTGGCGTAGCCAGCATTGAAAGGAGTCGGTGTACGCCCTCCCCTCTAAAAAATAGTTTGTCATGAATACTACGCATCAAATCTTAGTCAGTCTTATCAGTTTCTTGGTACGCCTCTGGTGCATCTAACTAACATTGCATCACAGTAATAATAAACGAAAATGGAAAAGCAGTTTAGCTTAGATTATGAGGTCCTTGAATGTTGGTTGCGGAATATAATACTGCTCAAAATATATTAAATCGCAGTGATGTGTCTTTACAAAGACAGAACAGAAGACTTTACATGGGCGGCCCATATGCAAGTTCACGCCCCCCCCCCTCCATGATTAATTACATCTGATAAATCACTAATATAATTAATACTATGTACTGAAATCAGAAAAACAAAAAAATTCAAAACGGGATGCTAAATGTGTGTTGTCGTTGTTGTTGCTTTGATTATCATGAAAGGAGATTATAAAAGAAAGATATTTTTAGAAAACAATACTGCTGCCTCCTACAGCGTTGTTTTGATCCATCGTGTAATCACATAGTCACGATAGTTTAGAGATCATTGTAATACATGAAAAATTGCTGATCTCCATAAAAACACTAAAAGGATCGTAAAGACGTTACAACTTTTACTTTTCATGTTGTGGAACATGTTTTTGACACTATATTCCATGACGCAGCAACGACCGGGCAAGGTACATGGCGAATTAAGAGAAGTCAAAGATCGAGAGAGATCTGAGAGAAGGGGAGAGAGATCGGAGGGAAAGAGTGATCAGAGAGAGAGAGAGAGAGAGAAAGAGAGAGAGTTCAGAGAGAAAGAGTGAGAGACGAAGAGAAAGAGTGAGAGAGATATCTGAGAGAGAGAGAGAGAGAGAGAGAGAGAGTGAGAAATCAGAGAGAAAGTGAGAGAAAATTGGGGTGACAAAAATAAAACGAGAGAATGAGGTTACGCAATAAATATTTATTTCGCAATGCGCTGCGTCTCTCTTATTTCGTCCATCTAGGCCCCGTATTAGGGACTTTTAGATTCGCACGAAGACACTGGGGATTGCTACGATCGACGTCCTTTTAATGCACTGCCTTGAATGGACGTCACACGTATCAGTCCACGCAAATCTAAAAGTCCCTAATATCACGATTTACGACTACTTACATATTGCCCCCCCCCCCCCTTAATAGAACCTCGCTACGCGAAGGTTAATCAAAATTAAAAAGCACGTTTGATGTTTTTACTGTTTCAGGCATAACAACAATTTTACCCTGACGACTTTCCAGTGCTATAGTCTAGTGATACTGCAAGCAAACCTTCAAGATGGTACTTGCAATGATATCTTTGAATCAAAACACAATAAACATACGATATATATCGTGTTATGCATTACGTCTCAAGGAAAAATTACTCCAAGGTTAAATTATGAAATTACATTTAGGATTGTATTTAATCGGTATAGTCAAATGAGTTTCTAACCTGATTACCAACACCTTTAAAAAGGTTAACAATTTTGAACAATGTAAATTTTCAACTGCATATTTCACTCGAGACAATATAGTACTAAATTCATTTGTGGCTAGTAGTCTTAATATGAAATAGACGGATCAAGGGTGTCACTAAACCTGTTCAATAAGGGGAGTCAGAACAGATCTTCAGTTGGAGAAGAAACATTTGATAAGAGGCAATAAAGGACCTCAGATCCAGTCCCTATTTATAATTTTTTCCTCGATATCCGATTACAAAAAAGTCCAAAATGTATCCATTAGAGGTGCCAAAGGATTTCCATCACAGATCTAGCAACACTGAATGAGAGGGTGTGATTGTGCTGCCTATACATAACGAAAATAATATGAACAGTCATCAAAGACACATGTTTAGAAAGTAAAAACAAAATATTAATTTTAGTGAAAAGAAAAACAAATAGTTTATTTACATCTGGTATTTGTCAACCAAATTTTAAGAAAATAAGTACAAAATAGTCAGCTGACAAAAAGTATAGTTATTTACATTTTGGTAATCTTAAAAAATGTGCTTTTAGTTGAATAACCACCACTGCATCGCTGTCAGAAGAACCAGTCTCTCTGCAAATTCGACGAGCATACCCTCGTTGAAGAGCTTGTCGACCTCGATGCATGTCGCATTCCGTCGATTCATCGCCGACGACTGGAAAAACGCTTTCAGTTTCGAGTCTTCTTCCATGACTTTCGACTTCCACTCTCTCTCCTTCTCCCGTCGTCGAGCCTCGCGAGATTTTTTCTTATCACGCTTCTTTGGTTGCTTGTCGTCACTCGGTTTAGGACCGCCGATGGGTGGCAGGATGGGGTGGAGTGGAGGAACACGAAACGGTGGTTGACTATGTCTAGACAGACGAGGATCCTTAACAGTACTCTCTGGTGTTCGAATGCGAATATGCGGATCCGCTTCGGGATTGGGCAACATCTCGAAATCTTTTGCGACGTCGTTACTAGCTTCAATGAAAGGACGCGATGCATGAGCAAGCCGAAATTTCGTTGATTTCTGAGGATGATCCTGGTGATGCTTTTCTGTCTCATCTCGGTTACCATGTCCATTCTCTCTTTGTTTTCTCCTACCATTCTTCAAATGGTGCGTGTTAGGTCCATCTCCCGATATTTTACGCCCACCATGCCCGGATATTGGAGTGGAGTTTACTAAAGACAGTCTGTCTTTTGTCATGTACAGCGATACCTTCTTTGAACCATTCACGCGAAATTTCGGCACTTGTAAGGCGTTTTCGGCATTGTTTTCCGATTTTCCCGAATCAGGCGGTATTTGAATGATTGGCGCACATTTATGGGAAGAGCTTTTCCTTTCGTTAACTATGGAGCGCGTAACAAATAGTGGCCCTCTTGGCCCGTCTTTATGAGGCATCGGAGTGAATATCGGTGGAAGCTGCGTTACCGGCCGCCCATTCGGCCACGATTTCGGAGACAAAGGTGACAATGCAGGTTGTTTTTTGTTGTTACACTTCTCCACTAAAACCTCGTCAGCTTGATTCTTCTTCCCAATTTTAATCATGTCACCTTGCCGCACAGTGGTTGCCTCCTGGTTCATATCGTTGCTACAAACCATCTTGCTCTTTAACTTTAAACTACGACGCATCGTGTCGTGCATGTTAGAGTAGTGGCGTCAAAATACACGTAAAATAACAGAGGAAAGTTCATGAAAGTCAAAATGTCGAGAGGAATTAAATCAACAACGCGCGAGTAAAGATAATACGAATAGAATACGAATGGCCCACCGATGCGCTGGAAATCGCATACAAAACAAGTTCAGCAGTTATGGAAACGGATTCATCTCAAAAGAATACTCTCAGGTAAAGCATCTTCACAAAGCGGAGGTTGATGGCGACAAAAAATTGATCACAAGCCATTTGTCCATACTCGAAGATTCTCTACTCCGAGCTCGCTGAATTGAAAATTCAAATCTCGATGCGAGGCGACTGTTATCTAAGTACTGCTAGTAATCATTATGTTTACGCCCAGCCATTAGAGCTCATGTCCTGCCTCTCGGAATGCATGACATAACGAAAACGATGACAACATGTGTACGAAAGTGCGAAACATGCCTGCAAGCCCTCGTATAATATGTTTATCAAACGCTCTTACTCTTCAGGTACAGCGCAGTATCTCATTAGGCCATCGCGCAATTAAAAACGCCGCGAGGAATATTCTGCAATGTATTTATAACTCTAGTTATAGGTGAGGAAGGAGGTCTAGTTACGTCAGTCATTGCGTTATATTTTGGCTCGCGAGCATGATAATACATTGTCATTGGGGTCGCTATAACAAGGTGGTTGTTGACAACAGTCATCTTTTGTTTCCTTTCTCAATTTAAATTCGACATTATGCAAGTTAATTTTCAAGAAGAAAAAAAATCGAACGAAAAAAAAAGAGAAATTGTCAATTAGTGAATAAAAATAGTGACCATTCGTTACCCTTCAAACACATAATAAAAAATATTGACCCCCCCCCTCCCATCACTTAAATATAACCAATGTATATTTCACTTACTTTTTGATTTCATTGTTTTTCTCTGTAAGGATCTTTTGCAATATCATACATTTGGTAAAATTCCACATTCTGGTCTCCCGAAGAAAATAGTCGTTACCCCTTACACTCCATCAAGACCGCCTCTGCCACTGTAATTCAGTAAACAATCTATAAAAAGACATGTTCAAGCTGTAGTTTAGATTAATTGATGTATTTTTTAAATCTTGTTTTTCAATAGAGAATCATATCTTTAAATATAATTATAAGTGAGGATGTAGGATATAAAGGCAATGCATTGAATGGCTTCCTAAGGGAGCCCATAAAATACCGCTCTCTCTCTCTCTCTCTCTCTCTCTCGATCTATCTTTCTATACATCTATTATTAGTTTAATTGTGTCTCTTTCTCAGTCCCCTCCCTTCTCTCTCTCCCTCCCTCTCTCTCTCTCTCTCTCCTCAGACTCATTATTTTTAATGGACGAGAGAACCGTGTTCTGATTCATAATTATATTGCGCCTTCCATAATTTATTATCACTATTATATCCTAGACTCCTTGAACAGTTTTATGCTAACCCGTAATTTATATCAAAAGGAGAACTCCTCATCTATTATCATGAGAGAGTTCGGAGAATCCCAAGCTCATAGATCTATTAAACTATAAATTCGTCTTGTTTAAAAAATGTTTTAAAAAACCGAGAAAAATCAGTTCAAGGATCGCACAACACTAAAACCCGATTGCAACCCGAAACACAATCTTTGACGATATGAAGCATGAGAGCTGTTGTCGCCGAACCCAAAATCGGGCCACCTCCTCTTGAAGGTTGAGACAAATACGGAAAAGATAGAGGATGCTCCAACGCTGAATCCACCTCCGTTGAGATGTGAGATGTGAGATACGGATACTGCATCTTCGAGGCCCGTGATATTGAAGATTATAATGAGATTTATCAACAACTGTCCCTCAATTATTCCCACTTTTTCTTCAGTTGGGTGTTATTTTCACCCGCTCTCATACAAAATCAATGAGAAACTTTTTTTCCTTCTTTCTTTCGAGTGTTCTCTTTGCAAATCCACCCCCACACACACACACCCTCCCTCCCCCGTCATGTGCTAAATCCTAACTAAAAAGGGTTAGCAAAATTGAGAGAGGGTCAGGGAGATATAATAGATTTAGAGGTGGATTTGCAAAGAGAACACTTGAAAGAAAGAAGAAAAGAAAGTTTCCCATTGATTTTGTATATCGGAGCGGTTGAAAATAAGACGCACCCGGCAGCGCGTTTCCGTTTTACACCCTGCCCTAGGCTTTTCGGCAAGAAATTACACGAAACATGCTGTATCCGAAGTCTAAGTTTGTTTATCGACGTCAAGAATAGCGAAGCCAAAGCTTATGTACAATTTCAATTGGGGATGCGAGGGTCTTCTTGTTCAAGACGGTTTTCCCGATATATTATTGTTTTGTTATCGCTGGGCTAAATTTTGCGAGCTGATCACGCATCCTCACGCTCTTAGAGTATTGCGTATTAATGGATAAAAATAAATGATACGACTAGGAAGATCAACTAGTATAGAGAGTTAGCTAGCGCTACGTGACGTTTTCAGAGTTCAGAGCGCCGAGGCAAGATGTGGACGACTAGACTCCGAATACCAGTCGGTTTGTAAAATTTTATTGGAGAAAAGCCTAGGGCAGGGTGTAAAACGGAAACGCGCCACCCGGCAACTGAAGAAAAAGTGGGAATTCCGAAAAATGTTCGCCCTCTATCGACTTAGCGCTAACATTCAAAACAAACTACTCGGATCGATCGGGCTCTCCTCTTTCACACACAGTCACAGTGGTGCACATCGAAAGATTGTCTCTTAAATGTCTATACCAAGTCTATTCGAATATGACACAGTCCATAGTCGTTCAAGGTAAGAATAAGACATATGCAGCTATAATTATTTGGGCTCAAATACTCGTAAAAGTTGTATGAAACTAGAAATGTATTTCGTTTGGCTGTAAGTACAAACATGTAAAACAGTACGTGGGACTGAAATTTGTGACTTGAGCTCAAATCCTTGGCGCTAGTGCAGTGCACCGTATCCATTTTGACCCAGGCATAACTCCGGCGAGGAGATATAGATTCCCTACTAAATCATACCAAAAATAACTAAATCTGATCTTCATCAATTGTTCAAATAATGGTAATGATTTAAAATTCGTTATGACTTCACTTGGACTAGAGTCTAGACCCTATGTTTCTAACTTGTTTCGTGTCAATTTTCTTAATCATCAAATTCATGATCGTCTCTTTTTGAAATCATGAAAACGAAGATCGAGAAATAAGTTTTAATTTAAAAAATAAAATTTCAGTTTTAACTTTTTTGCTGCCCATAGACTAAAGTTGCCTTGAGATTGCGTTCTAAATAGATAGATCTATGACAGGTTTGGAGACATGACAAGGAAGCGTTGTGGAAGTTGTCGCTCGATCATCTTGGCAAAGACGGTTTTGTGAAGCACTTTGCGGACAAGTTGAGTGACAGTGTCGAGATATCGTTGATCTTGTAGTTATGACGCTTTCGAGAAACAGGCCCCGGTTAACATGGTTTAGCCTTGGGAAGGTGACGTGTATAGCTCGGGAAAAGTACACAAACAAACTTCATTTTTTAATGAAATAGATCTAGATCAAAACAATTTGTTTTAAAAGATTTTTGAGATAATTGTCTTTAAGACTTAACATTAACAACCTCTTCATATTTGTTTCTAACAAAAGGATTGTCATAATGTCAATGACCAATGTTAATTACAAAAAATTAAAAAAAGGTTAAACAAATTTGATAATTGATTTCTTTCTTTATTTTCTTCTCCTTTCCATTGTACAGTTGGCCAGTGTGGCAATCAGGTAAGTTGACAAATAGAATATACATGTAGGTCATCTTGAGAGTAATGTCTTTTTTTAAGTTGGCTCCCCCAACATACTCCTAATTCTTATTTTCTCAAAAATCAAAATTATTAGTTCTTTTATAGACTAGATCTAGACTCACTATATATGTTAAAGATAAACTTGAGTTCTGGTAATGTGATTGCATTGTGAAAGAAAAGGTGTGGAATGGATCAGAAAAGTTGATCATATAGCATGTAAGTAATGGTGTGTAATGCAAGGTTCTGGAGTCATCAAAATCATCATAAATTTGGCAGAGTTTTGATAAATTTACAATCACTTACACAGAAAGATGTATATGGGACAATACACATGGTGTCGGGGCTAGTACTACACTGATTTTCTTATCTTTCTATGCTCATTACTCAGCCAGTATACATTTTCTTCCAACATTGTTTGGCACATGACATTTATTTGTAATCTTGAACATTCAGTGTAAGTTTTGTTAGATTCTGTGAGAATTCATTTTCTTTTTTTACCAGAACTCAAGTTTATCTTTAATGATTTATTTGATAATCTACACTTGTAGACTGACATGTGACTCCAACTTATTAGGAATCACCTTATACAATTGCTAATTAGCTTTCTGTATAGAATTGGCTTCTAATGATTATAGGTTTTGTGTGTATTAGCTCAAATTAGTACAGGGTAGTTCATACAAAGGAGAGAAATTAATAATAATAATAATAATAATAATAATAATAATACATATGATTTATAAGGCGCCAAATCCACTTGACAGTCAAATGCTCAAGGCGCAGCTTGTGCAAAAGATGAAATACATACATGATACATTTATACAAAGTGCGATAGGAAAGGTACAGACATGAAAGGTAATGGTAATCAATTATAAGCTAAATTAAACAGATATTTCTTAAGATTGTTTTTTAACACCTCAGCAGAACTGCTATTCTTAACCCATTGAGGGAGAGTATTCCATAACGAAGGCCCAGCATGAGCGAAGGTTCGTTCCCCCCACTTTGTTTTAACCCTAGGAGTAACAAGTAAGCCAGAGTTTTGAGAACGTAGCTGTCTAGAAGGAAAGTAATGCTTAATCAAGCCGATGTTATACTGCGGAGCAGAGCCATGTATACAGTGAAATAATAGCAAAATAATCTTGAAAACAACACGTTTTTCTACGGGCAACCAATGGAGTGATTTGAGGACTGGTGTGATGTGACTGTACTTGTTGGACAGGGTCACGACACGAGCAGCAGCATTCTGTAATCTTTGTAATTTTGCGAGTAGGTTGTGAGGCGAACTAAACAAAAGGCCATTACCAAAATCCAAGCGAGAAGAAATCAAAGCATGAGTAATTTTCTCGGTGGCACCACGGTTAAGATATTTACGAATAAAACCCAAATTGCGTAACTGATAACGTACTGATTTTGAGACATATTGAATTTGAGTAGACATTTTCATGTTTGAGTCGAGAAACACACCAAGGTTGCGACATACATTAGATAGGGTAATTTCATGTCCAGCAAGAGTAATTGAAGTGATGGAAGAAATCTTCTCTAACTGAGTCTCAGAACCATACATTATAAATTCGCATTTGGCGAGATTTAATTTCAGTGAATGTGAGTTTAACCAATTATGAACATCTTGTACACAAGTCTCAATGTTATGGATAGCGCTGGCTGCATTGCTCTGATTGGGTTTGAAAGAAGTATATATTTGAATATCATCAGCATAAACATGATAAGAGAGAGAATGGCGATGAAAAATACTCTTCAAACCCGTTAAATATAACGAAAAAAGCGTGGGCCCGCCCACAGAGCCTTGTGGAACTCCGCATGTAAGTGGTACAAAATCTGAAAGGTAGCCGTTTATCAAGACAGCTTGAGAATGGCATGACAGGTATGATTTAAACCATTCCAGGGCTTGACCTTTAATACCGAGTGACATGAGGGTATTCACCAGAACAGTGTGGTTAACAGTGTCAAAGGCGGAAGACAAATCAAGGAGTACCATAGCAGTTACTTTTCCGCCATCCATCTCCTGGAGTATAAAGTTGGATACATTAACAAGGAGGGTTTCTACACTGTGGTGGGGACGGTATGCAGATTGAAATGGGTCAAGGAGGTCATTATCGAGACAGTAATCATTTAATCTAGAGAACACCACCCTCTCAAGTATTTTAAATAAAAACGGGAGATTAGAAACTGGACGGTAATTACTTAGTAATTCAGAATCAAGATTGGGTTTCTTCAGTAAAGGAAGAATGTGTGCCGTTTTAAGAACAGAAGGTACGCATGCCTGAACAATACTTAAGTTGACAATCTGTGAGATAACAGATGCAAATGAAGAGGAGCAATCCTTAATGAGAACAGTATAGACAGGGTCTAGTTTACACGACTTAGCTGACAATCTATGAAGCAGTAATTGTATCTCATCGGAGGTGGTAGGTTGAATCGTCTCGAGGGATGCTGACGTGACAGGATCAGGTGGAGTTAAGTCAGGAGTGAGACTGTCCTGGATCTTCTGAACCTTGGAGCGGAAGAACTGAATAGATCTTTGAGCCAGTTCTTTACTATCAGAATGTCTTGGAAGTGGAGAGTTCTGTTTCCGATTCAAGAGACGATTGGCCGTAGAGAAGAGTTTCTTAGAGTCATGTCCACATTTATCGATTAGCCCGACAAAGTACGAACGTTTGGCTCGTTCGACGAGAGAGTTCGTGAAATCTCGTTGCGCACGGAACATCTCTTTGTCAATGTGAAGCTTGCCGTTAGATCGCCATCTCCGCTCAAGCTGCCTACGTTTACGTTTCTCAGCAGTAATCTCGCCGTTGTACCAGGGATTGTCCTGACGGTCTCGAACCTTGCGGATCTTGGCAGGAGCATGAATATCGAGGAGCGAAGAAAGAATGGTGTTGTAGCGACTAGTAGCTGTGTTGACACTCTCTGACGTTAATGGCATAATGTCGCTCTCAGCAACATCCTTCGCGAAGGCTATCCTGTTTATGTCTTTAATATTACGGGAAGCAAATGTTCTGTCGCTGCGTGCAGGCTTAGTGAAGCGAAGTACACAAGTGATAGCAGCATGATCTGATATACCTGGAACGATACTTGGCTTCGAAATTGACAAATTGTCTGAATTGCGCACCAGAACGACGTCCAGAATGTGACCTTTGTCGTGAGTCGGAGATGTAACCAATTGGGATAGGCCATGACTGTTAATAAGGTCCACAAACCTGAGTGTATGCTGGGATGAAGTGTTATCTAGATGGATGTTTAAATCTCCGGTGATCAAAAGTGGGTATGGTTTGCACAACCTCTCATCAAGAAGCGCAGAGAAGTCGATAAGAAACTGAGTGAAAGACTGGTATCCTGGTGGTCTGTATATGACTATAATGTCAACCTGTGTAGAGCCGCCAGATACAGTTCCAGACATTGATTCAAATGTTTCGAATTTGCCTGTTGGACTAATATCGACGTGGAGACTGTCCCTGTAGAGAAAGCCGACCCCGCCGCCACGTTTAGCAGCTCTGGGATGGTGCTTGAACAGATAACCACGAGGGCAAAGATCAGCAATCACTGCATCGTCTGATGCAGTTAGCCAAGTTTCGCAAACACATGTAAAATCTAAACTATGGTCAATAATAAATTCCTCTAATAAGGTAGATTTATTACGAACAGAACGGCAATTCAACATACCAAGTTTGAGGTTGTTATTAAAAGGATCACGGCCCCCCTTCATACCTCGATGTGTCTTCCGCCCTATGTCATGTCTGTTAATACCTAAAGACATAATCATATTACATAATTCCTCATTCTGTTCACGCCACAGTAGCGAGCATGAACGCGAATTAAAAGAGTGAAGTGTTTTACTGTCATACTTGTATGATATAGAATACCTTGTACTGATATCGTTATCCGAGGAGGCCGAGTTATGTGTGACAGGGCCTGGGTTCGGATTCACATCGCCAGATAACAATATCAAAATCTGAAAAGTGGATACACTGTTAGCGTATAACTGTACTGGAGCACAAAAATGTTTTCCCTTCAATTTCAACTTCAACGAATATACATCAGGTCTAGCTTCTAAATACATGTAGGGAACATTTTGTACATGTGGATCAGAAACCAGATCAGAAGCATGACACCATTGTTGCATTACATGACACTTACAGTACAACATGACCACACAGCACACAAAAGCTACTGAAGTGGTGAGATTCATTGTAATAGTACAGGTCTATTCAAAGCAAACAAAGAAAGAAAGTCAGCACAGACTTTACGCATGAGTGAACAAACCAACTACACTATGACATGTGTATAACATGGCTTCTACTGTGTACTGTATGTGTGAGTACAACCTCAAGCAATCTCGAAAACTTCACAGAATAAGTACATCAAAAATACTGACCTAAATGCTTCCAAATTTGACTAGTAATATCCAGGATATAAGTATAATGAAATATCAAAAATAGAAATGGAGATGACAAATGAAAACAACAAAATCAGTGATAAATCAGAGAGCAGTGCAGTGTGGGCGGGCAGCCACCAGCGCGCGCAGCCAAAAAAAAAAAAAAAAAAAAAAAAAAAAAAAAAAAAAAAAAAAAAAAAAAAATGTTCAACTTGGAAACACCAACATTTGTGGCACAGAAATAGTTGAAGAATTCCTGAATAAAGTAAACCAGCAAATGTAAGTAAATTAACTTTTGCTTTCGTTGATTTTGGTGTTTATTTTGAACTTGTGCAGCAGCAAATTCATGACACATTCCAAGATAGCTTTTGTCCCATTAGTGGAGTATCCTTATTTCTAAATGAGATCAGCTGGACCCCTTCTTACAACAAATGCAAATTGATGGTAACTTGATGTCAATCACAACTCTCTACTAGACAAGGCTGTGATATATCTTGATCAGTTCCTGGTTTCTGCATGGAATCATAATTTTGAGAATTTGAGTTTACTTAAAGAGAGGTCAAAACGTTAAATGTGTATTCCTAGAACTGTACATGCATAGACTGCATTTGCACGCAACATTCTTTTCCTGGGACATACTGATATTTACAGAGTGCAGTATGTGTTTCCTGACGTATGGTCGACTTTACAGTAAGACTATAGATATATGTTTCTTCATTTTCCTGCTATAGATTGGATGTCGCTTCTGGGATCTGGCCCTCAGAGAACATGCCACCTACAACAAGAAGGGCATCTTTGATGAATCCCTCAGCAGTTTCTTTAGGAATGTGGATGCCAGGTAAGAAATGGATCGCTTGCTAGCAGTTTGATGATTGTTTTACCTGACTGCTAAGAAAGCATGTATATGAACATTTGGTGGATGTACAAAGTTTGTACCCCACTTCTAAACGTATCCTGTTTTATTATATTACTTCTTTGTAGTTGTATACATGTGTTTACATCTTGTATGGAGTAGTGCATGTATACAATGTGATAAGTACAGTGGAAGTGATATCAAATTCACCTCCAACATTTCTATAGATAAAAAACAAGATGCTTTAATAAATTGTAGGAGGAGAATAGTCTATTTCAAATCATCTCATCCCAAATTGTCATATTTGTGAAAGGTCTCGTTATATGTTTACTCCAGAGGTATGCAAAGAGCGACTTATGTAATCAATATTTGAAATTTTTTTGAAATGCAATATGTTTCAGATATAGCAACCCTCTTGATCTTGGTATTGGTGATGGAAAACAAAAGATCACAAGCCTCAAAGCCAGGGTAAGTAGGAGAGCTGGGTTTTAAGAAAATTAATTACAAGAAGGAACTGTCATGAGATGAATTTAACTGACATCAGACAACAGTAGATGGAAAAAATGTTGGATTGTGATTGATGTGATTAATGTGAATCACAAATGACTAAATTCACTTTGGCATTTGGGCATTCTAGTCTTCTAGCAATGAAAGGTTACCGGGAACATTATGAAATTTCATACATGTTGAAATGAAATTGACAATCCATATTCATCTTTCCAGAAAGGTAGCTAGCCAAGCTACCCTACTTCTATTCATGATTCTTCACAATGCAGGCTCCTTTGCCTTAGCTGTTTTCATTGTATGTGTTACATACGTTAACCCATTCTATAACATTCAGAATATCATAGGTTCTGGAAAGTAATTTCAGCTCAAGATTAACCGTCTGCAATATTCCATGTTCCAAAATGTTGGTGACAGCAGTTGTCTTTTTTTTTAAATTCTTCATGGTGTTATCATAGGGGTATAGATGTGTCAAATTTTTTAAACAATACATAATAACTATCTCTTCTTGTTCCTGAGATGCTTTGTTGCTGCAGATCCCATCTATCAAAACAAAAATAGCGCTGGGTAATCGAGCATTTGCTTGTGCAGCCCCAAAACTCTGGAATAACTTACCATTTGAGTCAGGAAATCACCATCTGTGAATATCTTTGAATCAAAACTGAAAGCACATCTTTCCAATTAACTGTAAATCTAAGCATATCAGGAGCTCTTATAGCGCAGTAGAATATATACTTAATGTTGGATAATTTCTGCGCTATGTAAATGTATTATTATTTTCTTTTGAATGTTTAAGGCAGTCTTGATCGACATGGAGGAGGGGGTGGTCAATGAGCTCTTGAAGGGCTCCCTCAGGGATGTCTTTGATCACAGGCAGTTTCTCACAGACGTCTCGGGCTGTGGCAATAACTGGTAGGTGACAAAATTTCCTGAACAAAATGCTTTCACAGGATTCCCTTTAGATATGTGTGAATTTGTTGATAGGGCTGTGTATGCAGAAATCACAGATATGCAAAAACCTGAAAAATGGCCTTTAGTGCATCAGGGACAAAGTTTGAAGAAGGTAGACAATGTTTCTGGGAAAAGTTGTTCTCATCTTTCCCTTCAGTATTTTTAATGAAATTTAGAAATTCATTAATTTTCTCTTTTTACCTTCACCTTCTACCCTTCTATTCCCTGCATCTATTAACTCGTTTTCAAATGCATTCTGCTCTGCTTTGTTTTTCCTGTATGTACCCTACTCTCTCATCTGTTCCCCATTTTTAACTCTCCCCTTCTTACCTCTTCTATTCCTCTCAACTCCCCTACCCTCCAACTCTCTCTCTCTTCGCTTGGATCTCTCCCCATCCTCCATTTTCTACACCCTCTCCTCCTCTCTCCTTGTCTCCCCCTCTCTCTCTCTCTCTCTCTCTTTCTCTTCTCTCCTCTCCGATCTCTCCCAATCCTCCATTTTCTACACCCTCTCCTCCTCCTCTCTCTTTCTCTCTCTCTCTCTCTCTCACTTTCTCTCTCTTCTCTCGGATCTCTCCCCATTCCTTCATCCTCCCTCTCTCCTCTTCTCTCCTCTCTCTCTCTTTCCCTCTCTCTTTCCCTCTCCATCCCTTTCTCTTCACTCCTCTCATCTCCCTTGTCTCTGCTCTCTACAGGGCTGTAGGTCATAAGCTGTATGGTAGCCAGTACCAGGAGCAGCTGGAGGAGTGCATCAGAACGGCCGCAGAATGCTGTGACTGTCTCCAGTGTTTCTTCATCATGCACTCCATGGGAGGAGGTAAGATGAAGATTCTGGGACACACAGACGCATGATGATGCCAACCGTCTAAGGGGAAATGCTGAGGCAAAATAAAATGCGGAGAGCAGTAGTTACATGCAACACAGGTCCTTTAGTGCCCCACTGTATTTGTTTCTCTTGAATAATGCTTTACAATAATACCCTCATTCCAATCTAAATAACATTCATGTGTAATTTTGTGTAAATGGATTTGTAAAGTGCACTAGAAATGCAATTGCAATGTGTTAAATAAATGTATTATGCATACATCTTAGAAGTTTTTCATTCAACAATATGTTTTATTTCCTTTGTTATTTTAGTAAGGTAACAAGTGTAAGGGCTAGAATTTTAGACAGAAATGTTATTTTATATATCCTGACTTTCATCACCATTCAGTAAGTTTCCAGACTGCTAGATCTACTCTGTCTCTTTTGTCAAGAACATGACTTATCTTCACAAAGGTTTAATATATAACTATTAACTCCTGGTTTCCCGTTCTATTATCTTTTGTTCATAGGTACTGGATCTGGGGTAGGGACAGCTGTCCTAAGTCAACTCCAAGATCTTTTTCCAGATGTGTACAGGTTACAAGATATTCACTAGAATGTTTATTTTATTGTTGCAATTGATTGGCCACATTTACTATATCATGTATCATATTTTGCCTTACCAATTTTTTTTTATTTATTGTAGAAATTTAAAATGGGCATTTGAAATGTGATTCCTTATGTTAAGAAACTCAATGTACATCAAGTAGAACATTGAAAACAAACCATTATTAATATTTAATGAGAAACTTTTGGTGTGGTACACATTCAGACATTTTATTGAACTCTAAGGGTAAATTTATCTTATACCTAGCAAAACAAGATTTTTTAATTTAATTTTTTTTTGTTTGGGGGGGGGGGTAGTTGAAAAGACAAGGGGGCTTTAACAATTCTTTAAGAGATAAAGAGCGGTTTATTCAAAACAATGACAGAAATTTTAGATATTTACACCGTATGATGTTTTATGATGATGCTTCACCAACAGGTTTGTTACTGCTGTGTACCCTAGCAGTGATGATGATGTGGTCACTTCACCATACAACAGTGTGCTAGCTATGAGGCAGCTTACAGAGTATGCAGACTGTGTCATGCCCATCGAGAATCAGGTATGTCTGTGTTTCACCCATAAATATCAGAGCTTGGCACTTCTTCAGGTTCAAAAGCTGTTATAATTGAATTTCAAATGAATGCAATGAATCTAGCTATTAAAGTTTTATTGATAATTTCTAGTTCTTGTGTTTTAACTGCACACATTTTGATCTCTCAACATATAATTTTTTTAATAAAGTGTACAAAAAAGTAGAACATGTTATTTTAAAGCCAAAAGCAATATATGTTAGGTCATACTCTACTTGTCTCCCTTACCAAGATTTATTTTTGTTTTGGTGATGTGTTGTTTGTTGTTGTTGGTTTTGTTTGGTTGGTTGTAATTTTTATTCTAATGGATAGAATAAAGTCACCATTTCATAAAAATCACACATTTAATTTACATTCACTCATTAGTTCAGTAGCCTGTCAATCAATCATCATCCCTTCCCTCATCTTGCAGGCTCTCTATGACATCTGCCAAAAGGTTTACCAGGCTCAACCCCAGGAACAAGGGGGCAAGCGTACCTACCCAGCAGGGTCAGGCCAGGTTAAAGGTCAAGGGAGTGTGGTGTCCGGGGCAGGGGGAGCCACCAAGGCTGGCCAGGAGAAACCGTTTGATCACATGAACAACATTGTGGCCAATATGCTGCTGAATCTTACCAGGTAGATTTCAAACTAACAGGGTGTACTGCAATCTGTAGTTTGCATGAATGTTTTAATCACTTTGAATCCCCTTAACTTGAATCCCCCTCACCTGGAACCCCCCTAGAAAATAAACCCTCAGACTATGTAAAGATTCAAATCTTGTTTGTATGTATTACTCAAATTTAGTGTTGAAATTTCATTTGACTCATTGGTCCCCTTGCAATATATCAGCAATCAATTCTCGCTACCCTAAATAGGTACGAAAATCTCGAAATTCGCGAGACGAGGTAATTTTCACTCTCTCGGGTCGTCACTACAACTTCCGGTATAGAGTCCCATCCCGCTGGCGCTAGCGCCTGTGTTCGCTGTGCAGAGTTTTCACGCACGCTATTCGATGCCAATCAGTGTAATTTGTACAGATTATAATATGCAATGGAAAGCTTCGGGCAGAATTAGTGACTTTAGCACAAAAGGCCGTTAAACTCTACCGTGAAAGAGAGGGTTGTGATCACGAACCCCTGCACAGGAAGCTGTAATGTCGAAAAGCTATCCCATAATGCAATGCGCGTTTTCAGGATTTTCCCCGGATCTCGGCAGAATCGCTATTTGGGGTAGCGAGAATTAAGTAATTTTATTTTAAAATCTGATTCTTCATAGAAATTCTGAACTATGGTGGAACTTTTTCAGACGTGAAATGAAATATTTTTATATATGTTTTGATAGGGATTTGGGTTTTAAATTGACACAAAGTCAATATGTCTTCACCTTTTTATCACCTATCCCACAAAAAAACTTCTTTTTATACCTACCCTGAGATAGTTATTGTTGTTGATTTCTTTAGGTGTTTTGTTTTTGGTTGTGTTATGATCTTTACACCTTTGTACCTTTTGCAATATATATGTAAGTTTCGGAATGATACCTATATATCTTTTTCTCCCGTCCCCCCCCCCCCCCCACACCTTTTAGTTCTTCAAGATTTGAGGGGTCCTTGAATGTGGATTTGAATGAGATTAGCACCAACTTGGTTCCCTTTCCACGCCTGCACTACCTCGTCACAAGCCAGACACCCCTCTATACATCAAGCAGCCTTAGGATCCCAGCAAGGAGGTGAGATGAAGGTTACGTTGGGTACTAGCTAAAGTTAACAATATTGATATACAGTAGGCTTGCGGGTACACCATGTGAGAGAGAGAGAGAGGGTTGATGATGATGTCGGTAATAATTATGCTGCTGAAAAGGGTAATCAATAATAATAATAATAATAAAAATAATAATAATAATAATAATAATAATTTATGTATCTACTCTCATTTTAAGATTTACTGTGAATAATCATATTAAATAATTTAGCTTCATATTTTGTAAAATGTAATCTGAAATTATCTCTGTAACCACTTCATATACATTGGTTTACTCATTTATTACCTCTGTCATTATGTATGTTTATCATATGTGTATGTTTATCACTGTCCTGTAATATTTCATTTATATAATTGTATCGTATTACTTTGTAACCAGTGGAAACCAAATTTCCTGATATGGATAATAAATTATTATACTTATACGTAGGTATAGCTAGTCATGTGATTGCTTCGTGAAAGAAACTAATGGAGACTAGATAGAAGTTAATTTGAATGGTTAATTGTAAATGAGTAGTGAATTATAATACTTGTATCTTGTCCACTCTTCTAGTATGAAGTATGTTTATCCTGAGTAGAGTGTTGCCAATTTGACTGTACACCTGATTTGCTTGTATGTTACAGATTAGACCAGATGTTCACTGATGCATTCAGCCGAGAAAATCAAATGCTGAAAGCTGACCCCAAGAATAGCATGTACTTGGCATGTGCCCTCATGTGTCGTGGGAATGTACAGGTTTCGGACATACGTCGTAATATAGACAGGTAAAGTGTAGTGTTCAGCCAATATGTACCCATCTCTCTTCTTTAGGGTTTTGTATGACAACATTTTAAAGAGCTACCTTGATTGCAGTTAAGGGAACAGTTGTAAAAAAAAAAAAATGCTAACCCAATGAGAACAATTCATATTGATATAATGCCATAGATGATTATTGCCATGCCAGGGATGAAACCAACAGCTCTCATCAAGTGTTAATACCACTCAACCACAGCACATTTACAAACTTTGCTGTGCTGTATTTCATTTCATATGGCATACAGTACCTTAACTTTTTCTTTTCTATTTCTGTGTAGGTTACGTCCGTCCCTGAATTTCATCCACTGGAACACGGATGGCTGGAAGACTGGTCTGTGCTCCGTGCCTCCAGTGGGTCATCCCTATTCCCTCTTGACCCTGGCCAACAACACCTGTCTCAAGACAAACTTCTCTGATCTACGAGATAGATTCAGCAGGCTCTACAAGAGGAAGGTAAAAAATCTGATAGATAATTAGACAGTTTCGTGGCTATTGCCCAGAACCTGCATGCTCCAATGATCTTTTTATATATTGAATATTGATGGGGGATGCCAAGGTGGTTGGTTTCATCCGTGGTATGACAATAATGCCCTTTGGCAATACATCAATATGTAGAGGTGTTGTGGTCGAGTGGATATGTCACAAGGTCCGCAGTTCGAGTCCCACCGCGGCACTAATGTCCTTTGGCAAGACATAGATCTACATTTGCCAAACTCAACCCAGGTGATGTAAATGGGTATCTGGCAGGAATTAATTCATTGAAATGCTAGAGCGCTGTAATGGCAGCCGTGCTAAAGCCAGGGTAATAATCGGGAGCACCAGAAGTGTCAAGTCTGACAGACGTGAGCGCTATACAAGAAACAACTATTATTACTATTATTATTATTATTATGGGGGGGGGAGGGGTATACAAGTAGGGGTGCCATTTTGGGGGTCTTTAACGTACACTAATATTCTGCCAGTGTTTGTAGTATAGTCCCATATACACATTTCTGGATGTAGTGCACATGACTTTCAGCAAGACTTAGTCAATTTCTTATCATTGTGATGGTTTCCAAACCTCACAGTATACACCTCTTCTGATGTACGACATAATCAAAATATCCCAGTTGCTTCTAGACAGTTCCATCCATAATGTAGTCACTTGACCAGAAGTCAACTTTATCTTTTACACCATTTAACTGTTGGAGAGTAATTGAACATAGAAAGGTGACTGACATGTGATTTACCATTATTTTTGTCTTTGTCTTCTCCCTGTTTAGGCTCATATACATCACTACACCAGTGTAGAAGGCATGGATGTGGGTGAATTCAAGGAGAGTCTGGAGTCTTTATCATCCCTCATTGAGGAGTATCACAAACTAGATACGGCTCAGGCTCAACAGGTTCCTCGCCTCAACATTGCATCGTGATAGTTTCAAATGTAAGGCTCTTGTAGAGGAGAATTATGAGCTGGAGACAGCTGTTCCGGTTCCTCTCCTCAACATAGAATCTTGATAGTGTCAAGTGTGCAGCTCTCATGGAGGTGTATCCGAAGCTTGAGATGGCCCAAGCACTGCCACTTCCTTGTCTCACCATCGCGTCTTGAAATGCTTCCAGTCTGGTGTCCATTTTGAGGAGTACCGTCAGAAAAGGTGCCACAGGGGTAGGATATTCCTTGCCTCAACGTCGCAGATGGTAAGCTTCAGAAGTCCAGTATTCCAGAGGTGTATCAATACAGGGAGATGGCACATGTCCCATTCCTCACCTCAACATCACATCATGAGAGGCTTCATGTGTGGTTCCGTTGTTGAGAAAGCTGGAGATGGAACAAGCGAGCCCTATTCCTTGACTCAATCTCGCCACAACATCATATCTTAACCAAATTCTAGTTGGCTTTTGGACGTTGTTGAGGATTATCGGAAGCCATAGGTGGCAAAGGCACAACCTGCTCTTTGACTCAACATTGCATCACAGAAAACAGTCAGTCATTCCCCGATTGCTGCCTACATATGTGTTGGCTCTTGCTGGGGTTTCAAGATATCTCCTTTAAATGGGGAGTGGAGAGACTCTTTCTATGCTTGAGGCCTGAGCATGGAAACTATAATGCATACAAGTATGAGCATTGCTTTCAGGAAGAACAGTCTGGAGGAGTATTTGTTTGCACATATTGAGCCTAGCAGTGACAGGCAATCTGTCTGAGGTCATATGACATTTCGTAGTCGCAGGTCAGGTCAAAATTAAAAGATTCAACATTTTCAACATAGTGCTTTCCCTAAATTTCTCTAAAACACCTTCAATTATGATTTGCTTGCCCTTGCATGTCCTAGAATTTATTATGTTATTTTTCTGAATCTTTATTTATAGAAACAAGCAATACCTCTAAATTAGAAAAACAGTGAAATATGTTTTTAAATTGAATGAAATTAAATGAAAAAAATTAAGCAGTGGAGGTCTTTGTGTGTCACTGTTGTATGTGCAAACATTGTTGTCAATCAAACTTTCCACGGACAAGCTGGTAGGGGGGGGGGGGTGGTAATTAAATTGACCATAATAAACCGAGATTACATTTCTTTGTAGACTCTGTTGAGTGTAATGGAAATTGTCCTGTGCGCAGATGGAAATATCCATATTTTGGGATTTGGTCTGACATCTGGATCAAGTTCAGAATAATATCTTTATTAGTAAAGGCTTGTTCAGATATGGCGAGGTAAACCACTGCAAAAAAGCTGCCATTTCTATTAAAAAAAATGTTTAAATGAATTGTAACAACGTGCAACAAAGGACTTGCCTCTGTGTTATAAGATCCAGAAATGTGATGCATATTTAATGCCATTAATCTATCGACAACAACAAAATCGCAGCTGCATCATATCTGAATGAGCCTTAACACACCATGGTCATATTCACAGCAAATGTTACAATGTTACAAATAATAATGAATTAAAGGGACAAGTTACATCTTCATTTATATTTTGGATTTTTTTTCAGTAAATAAACAAGTTTATCATCCTTGAGATGAAATTGAATTTTTGCTCTCATCCCTTAATTATGTGTTCTGTTCTGTAATTTATTTCTTAAAGCATTTATTGAGATTGAATTTCGTATTATGGTGTTATTACACTTGTTTTATATGTATGACATTGAATCTTTTTCGTTAAAGTTTATCATCAGTTTCAATTTAAAACAAAAACACACCACAAATTTAGTTTTATTTTATTTGAACACACAAGCTGGATTTAATAGGGATGGGAGACAATGGCGATCGATTACTCAATACTATTAACATTACCGTAACTTGTTTCACATAAAGGTAAGAGCAACATTTTGTCGATTTTATTAGTTGGAAAATCAATCAATGTAGCGAATGGTATTGAATGAAAACACATTAAATTGAAATAGAATCGCAGAGGCTTGCAAGAAATCCACTCGGGGGCAACCATGTCAATATCCTATCGTATTGCATAGGAATAATGTTTGAGTCTCGTCGGAGGTGATGTAAGGTCGACACATTACTTTATACCATGCTGTGGACTATTGAAATTGCCCTAGATTGGATTGGATTTCTTGGAAGTCAGTACAAGATCGTGCAAATTTTACTTTCATATAATGGTGCAAGAGTAGATATGACAAAATCACTGCAAAGGAGAAGGAGGCACATTTGTCTAGTTGTTTAAACCCACCAGCAGAGGCGTCACATGAAGATTCCAAGGGGATATGATGGTGTTGAAATGAAAATATTACCAACTATTAAGCAAAATGAATATCATAACCCCCCCCCAAAAAAAAAAAAAAATAAATAAATAAAATAAAAAATAAAACCAAGATATATAGCCTTTGTCAATAATGGGTAAAAGAAGGTTCTTAGACTTTAGACTTGCCGAAATGGGTTAAAACAAGTACTCCTAAAAAAATGAAAAACAGGGATGTAACAGTCCTCCCCCCCCCCCCCCCCCCCCCCTCCTCTCTTTGCATGTTGACGCCTCTGTCCATTGGTTTTAGTAGTAGCATCAGGTAGTGCTATAGACTTTGTGCTTATATTTAGCATTTTTAGAGTATGAATATACCACTTCTATACACCAAATGAATATGAAAAATGTGTTAAATGTTGTACAAAATGTAGACCTATAATAGAATTACTTTACTTAACCAAAGGCTTCAACCTTCTGTACCGATGGTTGTTCACAGTGGTGTAGCAGTAACGCCAGTTAATCTCGTTGATTTACCAATAGTGCCATACACTTTTGTGTTTACATTCAGCATGTTTAGAGTACGAATATACACAACCATTATTCATTTATTTATTCAATTCAGTTTTGAAAAAGACTGCTGCCATTGAGGGCCCTGGATATAAACAAAATAAACAAATATATACACAAACATCATCCAAAATATACATAATAGACAATTGCAATGTAGAACTTACAATAGACAGAAAAGTATTTACAACAAATTAAAGCACACACGTACATCAATATGCAAGAAATTTAATTTCAAATGGCTTATACTTATGAAGTGAATTGAAGAGAGAAACTGACGGAAGTAAAAATAGAAGGTGGAATATTCGAGAAGAAGAAAAGGGGCTAGGAGAGGATGTAGGCAAAAAGGGAGAGAAAAACGACGGAAAGAGATTGAGTGGTAGAAAACAAAGAGAAAGGCAGGATAAGGAGAATTCAAGAAGTTGAGAATTGGAAAGAAGATAATAACCTATAAAAAAAGTGGATGTAAAAACCACATAAAATAATACAGTAAGCTCAAAAAACTATAAAACGTAACGCGAAAACTAAAGGCAGTGATAGGATCTGTGTGAATCGAAAAGGGCAACATGAACTAATTTCCAAAGGAGTCCTTGTATGTTAAAGTCACTGTACAGCAACTGATAAGAAAACATACAAAAAGTTGTACTAAAAAATGTAGACCTAGTACAAGAAAATGTCAGGATATATTTCAATAGATATTTGAAATAGTAATTTGGATTAATATTTGTTGTCAAGTGTGGTCTGAGGCCACCGCCACTTCAAAATATTCCATAGTGACGCAAATGCCTGCACCTATATATATATATATATATATATATATATGCTCACAAAACAAACTACCATCAAAAAACACTCTTCGGCGGTTTTCTGTTTTTCTTCTGTCGCTCAATATTTACGATGGCGACGTCTCGTCTCGACGCGTCGCAGCGATGCAGTGCTGTTTTGAGAAACTTCAAAAATTCGACGCTCTTCTTCTTTTTTTCGATTGATTTTGTGCAGTTTTCAAAGAACCACACTTCGTCGCAATGGGTTGTGAAGCTCTCCTTAAGATCTCTCTTGTCTTCTGTCGACAAGCTATCGGCGTGAGTAATGACCAACATCGGTGGATAACCTGCAAATTTTATACAGAAAAAGTAATTAATTTATTACTGATTTAATTATTTATAATTCATGTAGAAATAATTATTAAAGAGTGATGGTAGATACCATTTCTCTTGGAACTCATGTCTATCTCTCTTAATGATGGGAACTTAAAATCATTTAACTTACCCCATGTAACCAAAACTATTTGCCAAACATTTTGATCTGAAAGTAAGATCTCATGAAATTATAATTATGCTACTTTTTCTTTTTAATTTTGCTCTAATATAGTAACGATTATCCCATTTGTTCCAACATATGAATGATTCATGTAAATTGTTCCAAATTTATTATTCGGGAGGATCTTTTCTTCTCGAAAGACTTTTAATATGCTATCCTTGATTAATTTTGTGAAGTGCCCAAAGGTAGAAGGCGCATAGAAGAAAAACAGAAATTAGTTATATTTTAGTAGATATTACAAACGAAAGAGTCGATTTTTAATACGTCACAATAAATTGACCAATTGTCATTGTGAGATTCTTATATTTGTTAGTGATTTCATATAACACCCATATTTTCCTGTCATTTAAACGCTCATTCATTTAAAACTTTCGCCATTCTCTTGAACTATTATATTTCCGCTTTCATACCATCAAATAAATTTAGTAAAATGGTTAAATGCCATGTAATGCCATAGTGGGACTCCGATCCACAGGACTGCAAATATTCAGATCCATGGGCAAAAACCATAACAATAATAGACTTTGAACGATGCGTTTTTAAGTCTTCACATCATCATGGAATTCACCCAATACGATACCTACCAGTATTCTCTTGAAGTTTTGTTGCAAACTCGGAAAGAAACTTCACAGCTGCTTCCTTCTTGATAGAGTCACTGAAAAAGATTTTTGAAAGGTGATCGTGATATCTCTTGTTTAAATAACTAATGAAGAATCATTCAAGTTTCTCATAGGGTAAATTTCAGTCAAAATGTACTCTTTACTACTATACAAATTTATTTTAATGAACATTTATTAAGTCAATTGCGACTCGTTTCCCGAGTAATGATTGCCAAAACTCGTACCTCGAAGTATAAGATAGTTAAAAACTAACTTCGGTTTTTGACAAATAGATCCCTCGTTGTGAAACTGAAGAGGGGTACAGTGTTGACAGATATACCATCAATATTTTGGAGTATACTACCAAGGCATAGAGCAATATTATGGGCATGCTGATAACTGGCTTCTTACTTAACCTAATTACGAACCACATGGAGAAGTAAATATGTGAATTCGGAATTAAGAATCATCGGTTTTAAATCTTTTTCCATACTTACCTGTGTTTATAGACAAACACAGCGCAATCAATTATTTCCTCATCAAGAAGACGCCGGGTAGCATCTGATGAACCTTCTTCTTCTTTCTTGTCACCTATTTTAAGTGAAATAGTAGAAGTAGCAGCAGCAATAGAAGTAGTAGTAGTAGTAGTAGTAGTAGTAGTAGTAGTAGTAGAAGTAGTAGTAGTAGTAGTAGTAGTAGTAGTAGTAGTAGTAGTAGTAGTAGGAGTAGCAGTAGTAGTAGAACAAAGATAATAGGGGCACTTATGAAAAGGGGAATGGGCTCTTTTTTGTTTAAATGGGTGCACTTATCATTGGGAAAAGGGGCACATATGTATTTTTTTTTAAAGAAGAAAAAAAAAGTGCGCTTATCCGAGGGGCACCTCTCAGATTTGAATAGAGCAATTATCAAAAGTGAATAGGGGCACTTTTCGTACCTGGAAGGGGCCCTTGCAAGAGATTTCAAATAGTATTTATGAGAATTGAAAATGAACACTTATTGCAAATGAAAATGGAAACTTGTTGAAGGAAAAGGGGCACGTGTCAAATTAAAAGGGTGCTTATCAGAGGTGAAAAGAGGAAGGGGCAATTTTGGGGTACTTCAAAAAGTGGGGGGCACTGTGAACATAACTATTGTAGTGCATACACAACAATGAGTTTAAGTAGTTTCTAAGTTTAGTCGCCCAACCCTAATTAAGTCAACTATAAGGCGGGTATCTTCAATTCCTGTGTGTGTATATATATATATATATATATATATATATATATATATATATATATATATGCAGAACTTTTAGACGTTGTCTTGACAGGTTTCAACTAAACTGAATATTACTTCTAACTTTTTTTTTCTATTCAGAAACCCCAAAATACTCAAGCAATAACGAATGTTATTTACTTACTGATTTCATTCATAAACCGGTCCACATATGACAAATCAAAATCTTTCATGCCGCGATTGTCGAACAGATGAATATTGGGGGTGAGATGAAGACAGCTTCGAGGCATGGTGTCTCCTCCAGTTATATCTCCCGTTGATCTAGTAGGCTGGCTTCGCTCGCCTTCACAAACAATGGGGAAACATATCAGAAAAATACAGTGAGTCAGTATCGAACTGACAATACGTTTTAGGTTTACGAGGGGGAGCTGGGGACGGCAACGAAATATCTAGCAAATGTAGGATTATATGAATCGGGTTCCCTTCTAATTTGCGGCTTATTTTGACATTGAATTTACGTGTTAAAAAATGGAAGATCGTAATATCACCTTTGTATGCGAACTCAATAGAATTGATGAATGAAGACTTCCCAGCTCCCATCTCACCAAAAACACCGATGTGCGCTGCTGCTCTTTCATTTTCCGTTTCGGGTGTTTTGAAAGTGTATGTCTTTATTTTTTGTCGAAGACCTTTCAATTTACCTGCGAAGAAAACGACACATATCGTAAGATTATGATTACAACAAAAAATACCAATAGTTTAGCAATCAGTGTCGCCTTCATACACATTACGTTATTCAATATGACGTATTCATTCACAAACATACAGTCGAGAAAGTTAGCTTGAGCCAGAGGCTTAGACCGAGTTTCACCTTTCTCCAACCCAAATTTATCACACAACACGTGTCGTGTAAAGCATACACCCTTCATATACATGGAGCAGAATAATGATATAAATCATTAACGTGAACTTCGCCCCTCAAATAATCTCTTTCGATAATCATTAAAACATTATGGGCGACTGTTTCCAAAAATTACCGAACCTGCTGCCGAAGCCTTTATGTTTAAAAAAAAGTAGACAAAAGGAGCCAATAAGGTATTGATTGAAACATACACAAGCCCGTATCATTTCTACATGTTTACAATTAGAGTGTGATTAATGTCGAATGATTGATAAGTTTAAGGCGATAATTACCTGATGAACTTTTTTGCCCTACCGTACAGTTTAATGCACAGCACCTGCACTGGATATTGTCACGAGGATCTCTTGATCTTCCTTTACTCTCTAGATAAAGTTATATAATAGCATATTCTCCGAACCACAGTTGAGTCGCTGTGACGGAAGCAAAGTGGACTAACCGACATATTGATAAAACTAAGATGTATATATTACAATATGCATATTCATTTAATACATATATTACACTAAATTTAACGGTCTTTGCATTTTCTGATAATAATGACATTATCAGGATTGTACTCTCACGCAATCTATTTCATGTTTTTAGGAAGTTTACATTTTGATGTTTAATCTTTAAACCGTGTTTATTGACATTGCGGGGTGATCTACTTTGCCTATCAGGACTTTGGTTTACAGGCCTACCTCGTTTGTGAAGAACCACTCCTGACAGAATTAGAGCCATCAACATGGAGCCCCCGAATACAACAAAGGTGGTCTTTGCCCCAGTAGACACCCCTTGACCTATAACCATGAAGAAAAGCATCTTTTCATATAGTATGATAATGATAGTTCAGGTTATAATATCAAATCTTCATTAAGTACATCATCGGCTTGTCTACATAATTACAAATAACAATTCAATGGATCCACCACTTTTCCTTCCTGACTACCAACTTCACGTTCTCTCTTTTGTTATAAAGTGGTAACAAAATATCTCCTTTGAAATCCGATTAAGTGTATAGAAGCTGAAAAGATTGATTGAACTTGAAACTGATGGGGCAAAGAACATAACATACAGGTAAGCAAATACAAGCAAGATGAATTGGAAACACTAAACGTGACATATCTTGAATTTAGAAGGAGATGACGACTTCCTAATTCGATGTTAAGCCCCCATCACACCAAACTAGTTCTCACTACGTTCTGGAACCATCGTAGAAAATCGTTAAACGGGTTGTGGTCGGGTAGAATGTTTAAATAATGTCTATAACACGATCCTAGTTCGTTCATAAACAGTCCTCAATACGTCCTTCTCGTCTGTACCCTGTCCACAGTCAGTTCATATCGAGTTCAGATCGGGTAAATTTGCAATTTCCAGGCAGTCCAAGCCAGTCCGTAGTCAGTTTAAACTCGTTATTAACTAGTTCTACCTCGATCCCTATACGACCAAACACATTCTAACTAGTTCAGAGACAGTTCAGCTCGTCCTTATCTCGTTCTTAGTGCGTTCGAACGCGCTCCCAGAGCGTGTGCAATCACGTCCCGGCTCAAGGGTTATAAAACCCCAGAGCGTTAATTCTTGCCATTCCTTATTCCCGTTCAACTCCAACTCTTTAAACGGTGCAAAACAAGACATTCAAGCGAAGCCCCCATCACACCGAACAAATTCTCACTACGTTCTGTAAAATGTTGCAAAAACGGGCTCAAACTGAGTGCGAACGGAGCGAACGTAGGATAAACTGTTTTCGATCTGTTTAAGAACTTCTTGAACGGGCTCAGACTGGCTTGGACGGGAAGGGTGCTCTCGAACTTTGGGCCTGTTCAAAAATTTCCGAGTCCTGCAATTAGACGGGCTCACAATGTACTTAAACGAGATGGACGTACTACGAACGGAATGCCGTACTTCGGTCCTACTAGGAACGTGTTACAGCGTGACGTGGGCGAGCATTTATTAGCAGTAGTATAAGTGAACGAAAATGAGGAATGGCAAGAGCGTGCTGGGTAGTATAGCCCTCGAGTCTATAGGGGCACGTTCGAACGCACGAAGGACAAGATGAGGACGAGTCGAGCTGTCCCTGTACTAGGTGGTCGGGTTAAAAACTACCAGGAACAAGTTGCGAACTAGCCGTTAGAATGGTTTGGACGTATTGGGAACAAGGTAGATCTTGTTATAAGAACTGGTTTAAACTGATTACGGACGAGATTGGACTGCTTGGAAATGGTACATTTACCCGATCCGAACTTGATATGAACTGATTGTGGACGGGGTACAGACGAGGTGGACGTATTGAGGTCTGATTGTGAACGAACTAGGATAGTATTATTTACACATTCTACCTCGACCATTACCCGTTTTTGCGATTTTTTAGGACGGTCCCAGCACGTAGTGAGAACTAGTTTGGTGTGATGGGGGTTTGGCTGCTGCTAATTGATGCTCGACCACATGCAGTACGCTGTAACACGTTCCTATAGTAGGATCGAAGTACAGCAATTCCGTTCATAGCACGGCAATCAGCCCGTTTGTAGTACGTCCTCCTCGTTTTAAGTACGTTGTCAGTCCGTCTAATTGCAGGACGGGGACAATTTTGAACAGGCTCAAAGTTCTAGAGCACTCTAGTTCGGTGTGATGGAAGCTTTAACAGCAAAATACTCTGTACATGTTTGCCTCTTTTACCTTTCAATCGTAGGGCTAGTTGTTGCTTTAGATGACTGAATCATTATAATATAAGGTGGATGATCATTATGAATGCGTTACCTAGGGCAAGCACTGTCACTGTTGTTGACCGATCTGTTCCGTTGGTCGCTCGTCCCTTCACCGTGCAGGTGTATGACTGATCTTCGTCAACTTTGGCAGTGACGCTAATTGTAACCTCCAGCTCAGCTGTACCGTCAGGTAGTGTCTTCTGGAAATGTTCTCCAAGGGGCTGCGTCAAATTCTCCGCGGAGGTCCACTCAAGGGTAACATTCGGCTTGAAGCCAGTCACTCGACAGTCCAGGTTAAAAGGGTTGGTGTTCGAAGTTTTAACAGTGCAGAAGTTTCGGTATTCGTTCCAGGTCTGCTCACGGGCACACTGCTCGATGTTAGGAGTTGATACTAGTGCTTCATGAAGAAAAAAGAATATGATTGCATATACTTTCGATTAATCATCCTAAGACAACATCATGAAATGACCTTGTTCGACACCTTTTAAAAAGTGCGAACATCAAAATGACATATAACGTAATCTACAAAGATTTTGGATAGTGAATTATGGATATAGGCATCTGCCATGTACACCATACTTGTTATGATGGTTATAATGATAATAATAAGAAAAACGTTACTTATAAAGCCCTTACCACCGAAGTCTCTAAGCGCTATACACACAAAATAGACTGATATACAATTACATCTTATACAAAACTAAAAATCCTGTGGCTCATTTATAAAGTCTTGGGATTATTTGCCAATCATTAACTGCAGATAATCGGTATTGCTCATACTATATCAACTAGTTTGAAGAATGCTACTCCCTCTGTCTTATTTCAGCGAGTTGATTTTTGAGATCTTAGTATAGTAATAAAGATCTCATCCCAATAAATCAAATCAAATCAAATCAAAAAATCAAATCAAATCCCACTATAGGCCTTGAGTTTTTTCAGAACATATCTAACTAGATGGAACTTCGACTGCCCGCAGTCGAAAATGATGCCTCCGTCATAGAGCAATTTTACAAACCAAAACAGAACAATTTTTTTAAATTCAAGTTCAATTGTAATCCATTAACAAGTTCTCAGAATCTCGTGATTACAAGCAATTTCTCATATACATATATGACCCTTTGATCTTTGATCTCATGACCCTAAAATCTACTCAGTTCATTGGCTGTGCAAGATGTCCTGAGTTAAATAGTAGTCCATCTGTCAGCTCTAATGAGAATGCGTTCACAAGCTATTTTTGCATACATAATGAGCCCATGACCTTTGACCTTTGACCTCATGACCCAAGAATCTACACAGTTCATTGGCTCTGCAAGATACATACATGATCTAAGTTTGGCAGGAATCCATCAATCGGTTCTTGAGATAACGCGATCACGAGCTATTTTTGCAGACATAATGAGCCTTGTGACCTTTGACCTTTGACCTCGTGACCCCCAAATCGAATCATTTCATCGGCTCTGCAAGATACATACATGACCAAAGTTTGGCAGGAATCCATCAATCGGTTCTTCAGATAACGCGATCACGAGCTGTTTTTGCATACATAATGGGCCATGTGACCTTTGACTTTTCACCTCGTGACCCCAAAATGTACTCAGTTCATCGGCTTTGCAAGATAAATACATGACCAAAGTTTGGCAGGAATCCATCAATCGGTTCTTCAGATAACGCGATCACGAGAACGGGACGTACGGACGGACGGACAAACCGAAAACATAATGCCTCCGGCTACTTCGTAACGGAGGCATAAAAAAGACATCCCTACCGTAGACAACTAGTATGGTGTGCATTATCAAACTTTCTCCAGAATCGAATTCAACGTGACACTCGTATCTTCCTTCGTCTGGAACCTCGAGGTCATTGATGACGAGAGAGAAATCCTCATTCAAAGAAAACCGGTCATCCAAGCTTATTCGTTGCTGTTTGAAGTAGGAGGCTTTGGTTATGTCATTGTCGTTCTTCCAATACACTGCAACCACGTCTTCATTGGTGAAGTTGCATGGTAGACGTACATCTTGCCCGAGCCAACCGACAACGTGTTGCTCAGTACTACCACCTGTAAAGAGGGAGGGGTGGTAAACAATGAAGAGAAGTAGATAAAGAATATATGAAAGGAGAACACATAATTAAATTCAAATAGGAAATATATTCTTGTTCAACGAAGAGAGGATGGAATAGAGAGTAATACATCGATTAGAAGTAAAATAGTGAGAAAAACTAACGTGTTAATCCTGACACTGTCACGATTTGTACTGTCACGCTTTTTTCTCCCACACAAAATATATAAACTGGGTAGATGATATTCGGGCAAGACACGTCATCCCCCTACTTCTTAAAGTGACTATGCATCACATTGATATGCAAGAACATGAATGTCCGCTTCCGTTCATGACAGGACTAAAGGGAGTAAGTTTGGGATCGCGGTTG